CTTGTCCTTCCTAATGTCACTGTATTCATCCTCCCCTTCTCTCTGGTTAAGACCCCTGTACCCCTGGTCCTTCAGCACAGTTCTCTCTGGGCCCTGATCCTTTAGCTCACCTTCTCCCCGCTGTGTCACTTTATCAGTTGCCAGGCGCCCATGCCTTTCACCTCTGTATTATAGACATGCCTACCTGTTGCTGTGGTATGAACAGTAGAAGCCCTGCTGAGAGGGCTTAGAAAGGACCCTTAGCACAACACAAGGGCCTTGTCTCTGTTATCCACGAGGGTGGTGACTTTGTGACTTACCACACCTTAATTCACTTATTTAACTTTTCAGCCTCTATTGAATGCCTACCACTCCTTGGTACTGGAGCTATAGAAACCAACAAACAATACAGACATCTTTTCCATCCAGATGGAACTTAGAGCTTATGGGGAAGGGAGAAAAGAAATTTCAAAATAAATGCATAATGACAAATTGCTTTGACAAGTGCTAGGAAAGAAAATATAGAATATTCTGAGAGTTTAACAGGATGCAATTTTTTGGCCCACCAAAAGCATTTATTTTAATAAAACAAATTCTACATAGGCTAATTGGAAACTAAAATCCAATGTAAAACACCATAACATAATAAATAAGGGCAAAATTCTCTCCTTTAAAACTGATTTTAAGATTGTAAGCTATTTTATACAGTTTCCCTCCATTCCTCAGTGGTGTGAGTGTGTACGTGTAAGAATTTGCTAAGTTTGTTAGAGACTTTGTCCCTATTTTCTTCTTTAAGTAGGCTTTGTTTACATAAAATTTGGAGCAAGCATAGATACAAAGACTGGAATGGTTGTAAAGAATTTGATTAAATGCTATAAAAATAGCATTGAATTAACCAGTCAACTGCACCTCAGTCCTTAGCTATATGTCAGTTCTATTTACCAAGTGATTTGGGTGCATTTGCGATTGGGATGAAATGAAGAGATTCTAGGCCGACTGTAGGTATGTTCCCCACCCCCCAAGCAGGCCCAAAATGTCCAGCAAGAAATCCATTATCTTTCTTCCAAACTGGGTCCTGTGTTTGAAGCCCCAGTGAATGGCCCTGTCATCCACCCCTTTTGCACAAGTCAGAAACCTGAGCGCCATCCTACACTCCTGGCTCTCCCTTCTGTGGGGTTGTCAAGTCTTTGATACATTCTCAAGTCTCTCTCCTGTCCATCTCCTCCTTTACTCCATTGCTGTTTTAGTCTTTCATTTGGATGGTTACAAAAGCTTTGTCAAGGGGATAAATGAAGAAAGGGTTCTTAGGCAGACTTGCGTTCAAGTCACAGCTCCAAATACAAATTCGCTGAGTTACGTAACCACCCTGCACCTGTTTCTGTTGGTAAACAGAGATAACAATGCCCGCCTTACTTAGGGTTATTGTAAGGACCGACTATAACATCAGGCAGAGTGCCCGGCAAAGAAATAGTCAAGTCCCAGCACACACTAACTCCTGTGGTGACCGTCCTCTCCTTGCCTCCCACCTAGTCCTTCCTTTCAACTCATCCCCTCCCCTGTGGCCAGAGCAAACTTCCTAGAATAAATAATCCTCATCCACCACCGCCACCATTACTTTAAATCTTCAATCATTTCGTTTCATCAAAAGAACAAAGCTCAGAATTCTCAGCATCAGCAGCCTTGGTGACAAGACGTCTGGTTCTGACCCTGATGGAGCGGGGGTGGGGGGGAGCTGAGGTTATATTTATCCTCACACCATAATGAAAACCAAAAAAGTAAAACAAAACATGGTAAACAGTTGTTCATAAGGACTGAAAGCGGTCAGCCACCTCAGGACTACACCCCTTACAACTCTGAGATGAGAGGCATCTGACACAAGCCCACACGCACTCCCGTTTCCTCCCCGATGCAGTTGTCCACACTGTACGTAGTGCAGGAAGACAGAGCCCGAGAAGTGGTCTCCCTGGATGGAGACAGACATTTGGATTAAGGGTTGCCAAGGTGGCTGCAACTTTCGATAGTCTGCTTAGAATTAATATTGGGCTAATTCATATAAAAATGCAGAAACTTTGCACTTGAATAAGTCTGTTCCCTCTAATCTCCCTGCACACCACCATGTTACATGTTTTACATGTATATGTCATATGTATTACATTCTATCTACATGTAAACCCCCAGAAGAAAATGTTATAATTTTAGCTTTAAATAGGCATATCTATTTTGAAGGAATTAAGAGGAAAAAAACCAGGGCTCATGTTACTCACTTATTTACGAGCCTAGAAATTCTTCATTTGTTCCTGAAGATCGAATTTCCTCTGGTATCAGCCTGAAGAATTTCCTGTAGGTTCCAGTGACAATGAATTCTTTTAGTTTTTTATTATCTGAAAACTTGGTCATTTTGCCTTTGTTCTTGAAGGATGTTTGCTCTAAATCTGTAATTCTGGGTTGACAGTTTTCTTTTAGCACTGAAAGATGTCATTCCACCGTCTTCTAGCCTTTGTGCTTCTGATAAACTACCTGTGGAAACTGTGATGTTTCACTTTGTGTCTGGCCTCTTTCAAGGTTTTCTCTCTACTTTTTGTTTTCAGCAGTTGGACTGTCATGTGCCTATGCATGATTTTTTTATTCTTATTCACCCCATTTTAAATTCATTGAGCTTCCAGAACATATAAATTCATGTCTTTCACCAAATTTTGGAAGTTTTGGTCATTATTTTTTGCTCTGTTCTCCTTCTCTATCTTCAAATTTCCTATTTTTCATTCCTTATGGGAGAATTATCCTTTCCTCAATCATCATTATGCTGGCTGCTTTACAATCATTGGCTCTTTGTGTTTTGAGTAACTTTGGATTGGGTTCTGGACATTGTGAATGTTGTGTGAAACCTTAGATTTTGTTATGTTTCTCTGAAAATTGTTGATGGTTTTGTTTTAGCAGGCAGTTAACTTGGTCAGACTTATGGCAGCATAGACGAATCTCACACACATGACACTGAATAAAAGAAGCTCCAAACAAAAAGTTACACACTGTGTTATTCCATTTATGTAACATTCAAAACGTTCAAAAACCGTAAGTTAACTAATCTATGCTGTTAGAAGTCAGGATGCTGTTACCTCTGAGGGAGCTTCAGTGATGTGAATGGAGCACCGTGGGGTGGGGTGGGGGTTTCTGGAGTACTGCTCATATTCTGTTTGTTTTTAGATGTAATTGACATAGAATCACTGTATATTTTTAAAGTATACACTTTGTAAGTTCTGACATGTGTATACACCCATGAAATCTTAACCACAATCAGTATAATGAACATAAACACAATCCCCTCCCCCCAGCGCCCTGGTGTAACCCCATTCCCATACTGGGGCAATTGCTGAGCTGCTCTTAGGCACTGTAGGTCACTGGATACCTATAGATCACCTGGCCTCTTCTAGGATTTTTATAAATGGAATTGTACATAATGTATTCTTTTTTTGTCTGGTTTCTTTCACTTAGCATCTGTGTATCTTCTTTAGTGAAATGTCTATTCAAATGTTTTTGCCCATTTTTTTTGGAACTGAGACTTTTTGTTTTCTCATTTTTCAGTGTTGAGCGTTGTTCTATGTTCAGGAGATAAGTCCTTCATCAGAGATGTGATTTGCATATATTTTTCCCAGTGTCTAATGTCTTCATTTCGTTAACAGGATCTTTCAAAGAGGGAAAGATTTTAATTTTGATAAACTTCAGTTGAATTCATTTATTCTTTTATGGATTGTGTTTTTGGTGTCATATCTAAGAAATTTTTGACTAATCTAAGGTTACAAAGATTTTCTTCATGTTTTCTCATAGCAGTTGGTGGCTTAAAGTCTTAGATTTACACCCATAATACATTTTGAGTTCATTTTTATGGGAAGTGTAGAATATGGATCAAAGTTGCTTTTTTTTGCCATCAAATTGTTTTAGTACCATTAATTGAAAATAATATCCTTTTGTCCAATGAAATGCTCTTGCAACTTTTCAAAAATCAATTCAGCATATATCTGTGGGTCTATTTCTGTGCTTTCTATTCTGTTCCTTTGATCTATTTGTTTATATTTGTACCCACACCACTTTGTTAGCATAACTATGTGCTGTAGATTTACACTGTAGCTTTATAATAAGTCTTGAAATCAGGTAGTATAAGTCCTCCAACATTTTTCTTCTTTTTTCAGAATTGTTCCAATTACTCAAGGTCCAGTGCATTTCCATATGGATTTTAGCTTTTCAATTTATTCATTAAAGCCTGGTGAAATTTTTGCAATTGCATTCAATCCCTTGATCAATTTGGGGGAGTTGACATCTTAACAATATTGAGTCATTTTCTGATATGTGTAGTCACTTCAGTGGAAAAATAAAAAGAAATAGAATGACATGAAAAGGCATGGAGTCAGACTAGGGGTTTCCTGAGTGGCCTTGAGCATGTCACTTCTTACTCTGAGCCTCTGTTTCCTCTTTTGTAATCGAGGGAGAATAATGCTTGGTGTGATCAAGCCAGATAATATAGAGCAGCTGACATATTTCAAGGATAACAAAGCGCTTTTCACATCCTGAATGTTATTGTTAAGCACCTTGTGGGGTTGTCAAAATGAATATCCAGTATGAAAGGCATGGTACTATTTGGGTATTAGATTTTATCCTCTTCCTCCTCATCATTACAGTCACAGTGACTAAGTCCTAAGCTCTCTGCGTGAGGTTCCACGTGCTCACAGTCATCCATCAGCGCTGTTTTGTGATTACCTCAATCTGATGTCCATTAAACGATGTTCACAGCATCGCCTGCCATTTGAAATGCTCACTGCTTGAGGAATCAAATGAAATGATTCCCCAGGCTGCCAATTTCCTTCTACGTGCTGCCTATTTTTCTGGCAGGTTCTGTGGACTCTGGTTTCTGTATTTCCCCCTCCTTCCTTGGTCATGTCGCTTACCAACCTGGTGTTTTGTTTGCAACTGCCACTTGGACTGGCCTGAACATTTGTTCTTTCCTCCCCCACCCTGGGTTTTGTGCCACTCAGTGTTTGCTGGGACCAGGGTTTCTTGGAATAAGAGTTGTGGCCACTACCTGCGACCAAGCCCTGGCGAAGCGCTAGCCCCGGTCTCAGTTGCCCATGGATCCTCTCTCCTTGCACAGCTCAGCCTGCACCAGCTGCCACTGTGAAACCAACCTGCTCCTGAGGCTTTGGAAGATGTGGTAAAAATATTCTCATTTCTCTCTTCACCACTGCCTGGGCTTAGGTCTCAGTTCCCAGAAATGCCAACACCTAGCCCTATTTACATTTCATATAATAACTGCTATATTAGGGTTTAAATTTACTATCTTCTCTGAGCTTTCTAATTTTTCTCATTTTTCTATCTATCTCTCCTTTTGTTGCCCTACTTAGGATTGATTGATATTTTTATTATTTCACTTTTCCTTGCTAGATTGGAAGATAAGTGCCTTTACTACTCTGTTAGTGCTTGCTCTAAAAACTGCATCATGCACTCTTTGATTTATCAAGGTACCATACTTACTGGTACTTTGACCCTACTCCTGGACAGTACAAGGACCTTCAAACACCCTAATTTCATGTACCTCTTCCCTAACATACACGCTGCTGCTGTTGTGTATTTTAGATTCCATATACCTATTATGCAATGATATTATTGTTGTCATATACAGCCAGTATTTATTTATCCATGCCCACATGTTTATCACGTAATGTTCTTTATTCCTTCCTGTGTCTCTGACCTTCCTCCTTCATTTACTCCTTCCCTCAGGGAGGTCTGCTGTTGGCCACTTCTCTCAGCTTTTCCTCCTCTGAGAACATTTGACTTCATCTTCATCTTAAAAGCACATTTTTGCTGGTTGGAGAATTCTACCTTCTTCCTTGGCTGGCACTCTTATTCCAAACTCTATTCCATTTTCCTGCTGGTTTAACATTGTCACCCTTGAAACCTCAGAGGTCACTGTCCCACCCTTTTGAAGATCAATATCCCCACCACCCAGGTTGCTTGCAGACTTATCTTTGTTTTTGAGTTCTTGCAGTTAAAAACAATGTTATGCCTGGGTTTGAACTGCTTTTCTTTTTAAAAAATTTAATTCCCCTTGGCATGTATTAAGTAGCTTCAATTTTGAAAGTGAAGTCTTTCATCGATGCTGGAAATATCTAACCATTATTAAAATTTGCTTCTGTCCATTGTCTCTTTTCTGTCTTTCTGGGACTTGAGTACTGTCTATCTTAGACTTTCTCATGATTCTATTTCTATGCATTGACCCCCTTTGTATTTTTTCATCTTTTTATTTCTCTGTCCTGAACTCCGGGTAGTTTCTTCTGACCTATTTTTCCAATTCACTTAATTTTCTCTCTCACTCTCTCTTTTTCAGTTTTGTAAAATTATTTTAGTACTTTCCCCCTGACACTGAATACATAATAACAATGGGAAGAATGTATTATCTCCTATATTCTCAAGTGAAAAGCCTCAAAATCTACTAATTAAACTTCTTTAAATAATCTTCACACCAACTGTCTGAAAAAGAGCAGGGAATGGCATGTTTTCACCAGAACACTTGTGCGGAAGGACCTAGGATGTTTTGTTTTCTCATTTTTCAGTGTTGAGCGTTGTTCTATGTTCAGGAGATAAGTCCTTCATCAGAGATGTGATTTGCATATATTTTTCCCAGTGTCTAATGTCTTCATTTCGTTAACAGGATCTTTCAAAGAGGGAAAGATTTTAATTTTGATGAACTTCAGTTGAATTCATTTATTCTTTTATGGATTGTGTTTTTGGTGTCATATCTAAGAAATTTTTGACTAATCTAAGGTTACAAAGATTTTCTTCATGTTTTCTCATAGCAGTTGGTGGCTTAAAGTCTTAGATTTACACCCATAATACATTTTGAGTTCATTTTTATGGGAAGTGTAGAATATGGATCAAAGTTGCTTTTTTTTGCCATCAAATTGTTTTAGTACCATTAATTGAAAATAATATCCTTTTGTCCAATGAAATGCTCTTGCAACTTTTCAAAAATCAATTCAGCATATATCTGTGGGTCTATTTCTGTGCTTTCTATTCTGTTCCTTTGATCTATTTGTTTATATTTGTACCCACACCACTTTGTTAGCATAACTATGTGCTGTAGATTTACACTGTAGCTTTATAATAAGTCTTGAAATCAGGTAGTATAAGTCCTCCAACATTTTTCTTCTTTTTTCAGAATTGTTCCAATTACTCAAGGTCCAGTGCATTTCCATATGGATTTTAGCTTTTCAATTTATTCATTAAAGCCTGGTGAAATTTTTGCAATTGCATTCAATCCCTTGATCAATTTGGGGGAGTTGACATCTTAACAATATTGAGTCATTTTCTGATATGTGTAGTCACTTCAGTGGAAAAATAAAAAGAAATAGAATGACATGAAAAGGCATGGAGTCAGACTAGGGGTTTCCTGAGTGGCCTTGAGCATGTCACTTCTTACTCTGAGCCTCTGTTTCCTCTTTTGTAATCGAGGGAGAATAATGCTTGGTGTGATCAAGCCAGATAATATAGAGCAGCTGACATATTTCAAGGATAACAAAGCGCTTTTCACATCCTGAATGTTATTGTTAAGCACCTTGTGGGGTTGTCAAAATGAATATCCAGTATGAAAGGCATGGTACTATTTGGGTATTAGATTTTATCCTCTTCCTCCTCATCATTACAGTCACAGTGACTAAGTCCTAAGCTCTCTGCGTGAGGTTCCACGTGCTCACAGTCATCCATCAGCGCTGTTTTGTGATTACCTCAATCTGATGTCCATTAAACGATGTTCACAGCATCGCCTGCCATTTGAAATGCTCACTGCTTGAGGAATCAAATGAAATGATTCCCCAGGCTGCCAATTTCCTTCTACGTGCTGCCTATTTTTCTGGCAGGTTCTGTGGACTCTGGTTTCTGTATTTCCCCCTCCTTCCTTGGTCATGTCGCTTACCAACCTGGTGTTTTGTTTGCAACTGCCACTTGGACTGGCCTGAACATTTGTTCTTTCCTCCCCCACCCTGGGTTTTGTGCCACTCAGTGTTTGCTGGGACCAGGGTTTCTTGGAATAAGAGTTGTGGCCACTACCTGCGACCAAGCCCTGGCGAAGCGCTAGCCCCGGTCTCAGTTGCCCATGGATCCTCTCTCCTTGCACAGCTCAGCCTGCACCAGCTGCCACTGTGAAACCAACCTGCTCCTGAGGCTTTGGAAGATGTGGTAAAAATATTCTCATTTCTCTCTTCACCACTGCCTGGGCTTAGGTCTCAGTTCCCAGAAATGCCAACACCTAGCCCTATTTACATTTCATATAATAACTGCTATATTAGGGTTTAAATTTACTATCTTCTCTGAGCTTTCTAATTTTTCTCATTTTTCTATCTATCTCTCCTTTTGTTGCCCTACTTAGGATTGATTGATATTTTTATTATTTCACTTTTCCTTGCTAGATTGGAAGATAAGTGCCTTTACTACTCTGTTAGTGCTTGCTCTAAAAACTGCATCATGCACTCTTTGATTTATCAAGGTACCATACTTACTGGTACTTTGACCCTACTCCTGGACAGTACAAGGACCTTCAAACACCCTAATTTCATGTACCTCTTCCCTAACATACACGCTGCTGCTGTTGTGTATTTTAGATTCCATATACCTATTATGCAATGATATTATTGTTGTCATATACAGCCAGTATTTATTTATCCATGCCCACATGTTTATCACGTAATGTTCTTTATTCCTTCCTGTGTCTCTGACCTTCCTCCTTCATTTACTCCTTCCCTCAGGGAGGTCTGCTGTTGGCCACTTCTCTCAGCTTTTCCTCCTCTGAGAACATTTGACTTCATCTTCATCTTAAAAGCACATTTTTGCTGGTTGGAGAATTCTACCTTCTTCCTTGGCTGGCACTCTTATTCCAAACTCTATTCCATTTTCCTGCTGGTTTAACATTGTCACCCTTGAAACCTCAGAGGTCACTGTCCCACCCTTTTGAAGATCAATATCCCCACCACCCAGGTTGCTTGCAGACTTATCTTTGTTTTTGAGTTCTTGCAGTTAAAAACAATGTTATGCCTGGGTTTGAACTGCTTTTCTTTTTAAAAAATTTAATTCCCCTTGGCATGTATTAAGTAGCTTCAATTTTGAAAGTGAAGTCTTTCATCGATGCTGGAAATATCTAACCATTATTAAAATTTGCTTCTGTCCATTGTCTCTTTTCTGTCTTTCTGGGACTTGAGTACTGTCTATCTTAGACTTTCTCATGATTCTATTTCTATGCATTGACCCCCTTTGTATTTTTTCATCTTTTTATTTCTCTGTCCTGAACTCCGGGTAGTTTCTTCTGACCTATTTTTCCAATTCACTTAATTTTCTCTGTCACTCTCTCTTTTTCAGTTTTGTAAAATTATTTTAGTACTTTCCCCCTGACACTGAATACATAATAACAATGGGAAGAATGTATTATCTCCTATATTCTCAAGTGAAAAGCCTCAAAATCTACTAATTAAACTTCTTTAAATAATCTTCACACCAACTGTCTGAAAAAGAGCAGGGAATGGCATGTTTTCACCAGAACACTTGTGCGGAAGGACCTAGGATGAGTTAGACGTGCTTAGTTGGCCATGTTATATATCATGTTTTTTATATTCTAAAACTGATTCTTACACAGAAAATTTGCTTGTTAAATATTATACAACTTCCAAACACCCACAGGACAAACCCTTTCTCCTGTCACCATGAGAGTGAGTTGCTTTGCAGCAGGTGATAATGCTTTCTGCTTTTACAACAATTCTCTGAGTGATCTCCATGACAACCTTAGGAATCCAGTTTCTAGTTTTTATTTTATTTTATTTTTGTTGAAGTTTAGTTGATATATAATATTATATTCATTTCAGATGTACAACACAGTGATTTGACAGTTACCTACACATTAAATGCTTACCCCAGTAAGTGTAGTTACTGTCAACAAAGAAATCACGATATTATTGACTATATTCTCTATGCTCTACTTTCATCTCTATGACTACTTTATATTATAGTTAGAATTTTGTCCCTCTTTATCCCCTTCTATTTCTTTATTTCACCCATCCCACCACCTTCCTCATGGCAATCACCAGTTTCTTCTCTGTGTCTATTCTAGTTTTAAATGAAAAGGAGTTTTCATGTTTCACCCCGAAGTTCAACTCCTGAATTTTTAAAAACGTTTTGCTGTTCCAATTTTCTCTTTAGTCCATGATTGTAGCCAGGCTGTGTCCTCGAATACTTCCCATAGTTCTGTGGCCCCAGGCTGATGTGTAAGTGGTTACAGTGTATGTATCATCAGCAGCTTTCTCCCAAAACTGTAATCACAGCAGCCTAATCTTTTTCTGTCCCTCTTCACTACAAAGGCCCAATCTTCAGGCATGGCCCAGATGTCATCTTTACCGGAGACTCAGGGAATTTATGTGTCTCTGGAACATCCTAAATGTCAAGATCCTCGGGGTGTTCTAACCACCTTACTGCAGAGGAAACCCTATGGCTATAGGAGGCCGACACCTGTGCAGCCTTGTAATCCTGGGGCTGACTAAATCTGGAATAAATAGCACCAAAGACATACCAAGTCTCTTGTCTCTTTGCCATGCTCTCCTGGAATGGGATTTTCCAAACACGCACTCTACGTTGTATTCTTCCTGTAAGAATGCAATGGCAAGACTTGAAATGTTTGAAGGTCTTTATTCCAGAAGGACTGATAGGAGCAAACGTCCAAGCACAGCCCTTTGTCTGCCCTCAGAGAGCCCTGGGGTTCTCGTGGTCTTTCAGAGACGACCCGCCTCCCGGGCACTTGAGAGAATCTGCCTGTGTTCGCCTCTGGTGCCTCTTAGCATCTAAATTTTCCTCCTCAGTTTTCCATTCAATTTCAAGTTTTGTCCTAGTTAATATTTGTTTTCATACTGAAAACAGCCACAAACCAAGCTTAGAAGCCAGGAGTCAAATGTCATAGATCACAGTTAAGGGAACCCAGGTGCTTTTGGGACATGTTCCACCAAGGCAGGGGTACATTTCTGGCTCACTTTTTTGGAGATGCAGCAACCTGCAGGCAATGTCCCCACTCAAGTGCAGCAGGGACTCACTTGTACTCAATTAACACTCATACTCATACAGCACTGACCACTGCCAGGCACTTTAACTGCATGACTCCCTCACTGAGGGGAGCGCTGAGGCCTAAATGGATTTTAGGGAAAAGTCCCGGGCGCAGTTGTCTCTCTGGCTGGAAGCAAAATGGAGCAGATGGAAGGTGCGCTGCAGGTCAAGGTGCTGACTCGGGGATCAAGGTTATTGAGAGCAAGTCATGTGGCTGGTATCTCCTGCATGCCTGAAGGACACTGACTGGATCCAGAGCTAGAGAGGGCTTGCTCGCGAAGCCACATCATATCAGCATGTTGGGCTTCTGGGCCAGGTCCTGGGAATGGGGTGGTTGGAGCCAAGAAGAGCGTCCAGGTTCAGCCCAGAGACCAAGTCATGCCATCCAACGCCCCAAAGGTCAGGGGAAAGCAAAAAGGACTGGGTGGGAGTGGAACTGCTTTCAGAACAACCCAGTTTCAGGCTTAGCTCTGCAGGACCGAGCTATTTTGGGGTAAAAATACAGGAACATTTCGGAGCCTCTTTTCAGAATTCTGTAAGCCCAAATAGCATTCTAGCACATTGCTTTTTATATAATTTTCTGACACAAACTTAGTGCAAGGGCTAGAAATTAGGAATAGAAAATAATATTCAAATAGAGAAAAATCTCTTAATTTGTATACAGTATCAAGCTCTTTATAAATTGTAAGTAATTAACTTCATCTAAGAGTTTTAAGTCAGTGGACAACTTTCTCCTTTCCTCCTGGGTGTGACATGACGTCACCAATTCTAGTGTGGACATAAGGAGGGAGAGATGCCAAGAAGCAGTGGCCCGATTATCTATTAATTTGTAGCGTCAAGCAACTAACTGGTGATTCTACCAGCCTTCTGCATGCAAATCTCAGTCTTAGAGGTTTTCCAGGAATCTGAATTACAGGAGTAAGCTACCGAATTGCTCTGAGTTTCTGTTCTTTTACCATAAAAGGGAGATGACAACTGCAGCCATGTTAAAAATAATCATGGGAACTAAATGAGAAAAAGCATACAAAGGTCATGGCAGTGCCTGACTCCTAGCATTCAAAGGAGTTTGTTACTAAGATGATTAATAAAATGACATTGTCATTCCCATTTTACACATGAGGAAACAGGTTCTGAAAGTTTAAGTATCTTTCCAAAGTCATATAGTAAGGAGTGGAGATGGGATTTAAGCTTGCACACACACACACACACACACACACACACACACACACGTTTTTTTTCTCTGCTACTACTTTATGTTGCCTCTTGTTCTTTGGAGCTAATGTTTAGGTTCGGTGAGAAGTTTTGATTAGAATAAAAAGTTTGTGGAGGAAGTTGGGAAGGGCAGGTAGAAGCTTGTCTTGGAAGCTTATAGAGAATGTGTGATGATCAGCTTCGAAGAGGTGGAAAGAGGACCAGGCGCGCACTAGGTCTGTGATAAAGGCTTCTATGGACACCAAACTAAAGAATGATAAGGAGCTGAAGTTAGAGAGAACACATGGAACCACTGTTTGGGACTGCCATTTATAATGCAGAAATGAAAGAATTGAAGCAATGTACTTCCCAGACATTTTAGTGGCTTTCTGAATTATTTTTAACTCCTTGCCAAATTCTTAGAACTGAGGAAAAAGCTATTTGTGTTTTTGTTCTCTACACAATTTGCACAATCCATAGGTGTTTTTTCTTTTTCTGGGTGCCCCCCAGGATAAAGGAAATAATAATTCTTTTTGTAAAGGATTCTGTTGAGCACTTCCTGTTAAGAGTAGAAGGAACATAAAATGAAAAGCAAAATGAATATGAAGGCTTGGCCATAGAATCTGGGAACCAACAGGAAACAGCAGAAGAGGGAACAGTATTTACAACATCAGTAGTGCCAGCTTCCAACACCTATCCTTCGAAACACTTCGTGTGGGCTGAAATCTCACCACTGTTTGGGGGCAGAGCAAGATCCAAGAGGGAGTCAGTGAGCGCCTCCTGGTCTTTTGTGTCTGTCTGCTCTGCCAGAGACCCCCAGACCTCTGAGAGAAGGCCGAGCTTCACGCAGACGGAGTACATGGGTGGAAACATATTTAGTGAGCCAGGAGCTGTACACGAGAATATGTAACCAGGAGCTGTTTCTACACAAAGTCACACCTGTCTACAGAGCCAGATGAATCATGGCCTCTATGGCCAGAGAATTGGAAGCTTTGGGTCAGGAGAGTAAAATCCAGTTTGAGAACTCAGCACCTAAAGCTACATTTTGCTGACAATAACTGTAGAACAATAACTCCCATCTTGCTTGCAAATCCAAATTCTGAGATTCTCTCTCCCCTCTCTGGCCCTGAGTTCAATAAATCATTTTGAGGAAACAATAATCATTATATGCAGATGACCCACATTAGAATGCTGGAAAAGACAAGAGCAGAAACTGAAAAGTTATTAGACACAATTAACATGTCCAAAATATTCCTTAAGGTGGTCGATTAAGATATGAGTCTGTAGTTTTCCTATATATGGTATAAAAAGGCAGCCAACAAATGGAAGAAAAGATCTTATGTATAAGAACAGCAAAATGTATAATATAAACCATGAGTGATACTAACAAGCAATGAGCAGTAGCTTCAGGGAAAAAAGAAAAAGAAAAAGGAAAACTTGGTTAGGGCCACAAAAGATGAGAATGAGAGAAGAGATTCATCTGTTTCTAGATGGGAAGACTATTTTATAAGGTGTACATTTTCTCCAAATTGATTTATGCAGTGTAATTCCATCAACATCCTAGCAGAACTTCTCTGGGTTTCTGACAAAAGAGTTCTAAAATTCACTGAGAAGACTTATTTAATTTTATTATAATTTTTTGTTAAAGTATCATTGATATACAATTTACAATGGTTTCAAATACACAACACGGTGGTTCATCATTCACCTATATTATCAAGTCCTTACCCCTCTATTGTGGTCACTGTCTATCAACATAGTAAGATGTTGTAGAATCATTAGTTGTATTCTCCATGCTGTACTGCTTTCCCCATGACCTACCTGTACTGGGACTGGAAATTGTAGTGCCCTTACCCTCTTCTCACTCCATACCTTCCCTGACCCCTCCCCTTTGGTGACCACTAGTCTCTCTAGAAGACTTACTTTATATAAAAATCCTGTAAAAATCTTCTGAAATATAAGACTAATATAGGGTACTTCTCCTGTAAGATAAAACTACAGTATTAATGCATAAGGGACCAGTGTACAAAACAGCTTACTCTAAGAGATAATCAAGAAATACATCCATGTGTATATAAGAATTTGATCTACAAAAGATCACACCTCAAATCAACTCTGGCAATCCAGTTGATTTGATACAACTTCTTGAAAAGATGTTCTGAAAGAATAGTCTTCAGTTCTATAATCTGCATATCCTTTGAGTGAGAAATTTCAGTTCCACAGATACATTCAAAGGATATGCATCTTGGTGTTTTTAAAATTTGGAAACAACTAAAAAGTTCATTCCAAGAGAATTTTAAAACTAAAATCTGTGGCACACCTAAAATATGGAATATACAGTCATTAAAACATTATTTTGTCCAAAAGAAATTTAAAACACAGTATGTATAGTAGGATCCCATTTTGGTGACTGTGTCTATTGTAGCAATGTATGTATTTAATAAGAAAAATATCTATGGAAAATTTAATAGGACTCACTCTGGGTGGTGGGGTTTTTGAGTAACTAAATTTTATTGTTCATGTTGCTTGTATGGATTTTAAGAAGTGCTTATAATAATCATGTACAACTCATGTAACTAAACATTAATGAAGGCAGCTTTTTTAGGGCAGATTGAAAAGCCCTCACTGGTAGAGCTGTTCCATCTCCTTTGTAGACCACGCAATTGATGACATCATCACGTGTCTTACTAATCAAACCACGGACGCATTTGTCCTCAGGAAGAGCTCTCTCAGGGATCGGAGGTGTCTTGGCAGGCAGCGAAAAATCTGGACTCCAAATTCGTTTCCTATTTGTCCCACTTAACTGAAACCTGAGCTTCAAATTCAAAGCCCAATTGTTTGAATCTTCGTATCTAGTTCAGCTCAGTCAGTCATCCATGGCGTATCCTTGACCTTTTTAGAGCCATTGAAGGCATCAATCATTTGAACAATACTTCTCTATCTTTTAATGTCAGAGCAGGAAGAATTGTTCTAATATAAAGCACAACTGGAGCTGGATTCCAGGAAGAAACGTAAAAGGATATTTATGCCTGCAAACACCCATGTTCTCTTGCCACTAAAAGCAAGGTAGGGCATGTATTTCCTTTTGCTTCAAAAGCTAAGAGCTTATAAATGAATTTAGGGCACACGTATGGACAATATAAATGATTGGCAACATCTATTTCTGTATTTTTTCATACTTTAAAAAATGGCTTTTCTTGTATTTTTTTTTATCTTGAGTTAGATTCTTTGATATTATATTATTCTGTAAACAGTCTCAAATCTTTTTGGAAGGAAGTTAGATGCAGGATCGCTTTCCTGGGAGGAGAAATGACAAGGGCATTATGACCGTCAGAGGTATATGCAGTCAGCCTGGCTTGTAAGGAAGCCCAGGGGTGCCTATGGAGCCAGTGCCAGCAGGTCCAGACTCAGCCCCTTGGGCATGGTGGGAGGTGTCCTCCTAGCGGTGAAGCTGCTGGCGTCTGCAGGGGCTCCGTCTGGTTTTCTCTCACTCACTAGGCCAGAGGGCGCATTCCTCACTCTTAGCCCTGGAGACTCAGGTCCCAGCCTCCAGGGGCGTTAGACCCAGAGCAGGGAGGCTGCTGGCTGGTGGAGGCATCAGCCTAGGATGGTGTCTCCTCCAGCACCCGGAGGACTGCAAGCACCAGTGGAGGGTCTGGGGTGTTGGCCAAGGTCATGGTGGGGGCGTTCATTCCATTGCTCAGCGACAGGGAGCCAGTGACTTTAGCCCTGTCTTTCCTCCTTGACCTGTGCCTCCAGAGATTCAATCCTTCATCCATGCTACCTCCAGGTCCATCTGCCAATTCATTCAACCTGCTCTGGCTTGAGAGCGCCCCCTGCCGGCGGTCCAGCATCTGTCTCCCGGGTGCAGAGGGTAAGAGATTGTGGACCCACCCACCCCCGGACCCTGCTGAGTGAACAACCCAGAACATCTGCTTCCCGGGGAGAGGCTCTCTCCCACTTTGGTTTTACTTACTCTCTCGCCCGCCTCTCAACCGCCTAATATCTCACACCACTGTCTTGCGATGGCCCTACATCCTTAATGCGCAGCAGCGATGGCTGCTGTTCTGGTTTTATTTCCTATACATCATATAAATGTTTCTACTGTTGTCTCATAGTCTGTGCTGGAAAGGCACCGGGCTCTTAGTCCAGGTTTGCCCCCAAGGGACTGGCTGACCTTGGGCAGGACGACTACCTCTCCAGGACTCAGGTGCTGCTTTAAAAAGAAAAGAATGACAAAAGGACACTGGAGAATGTAATTCAGACCACAGGGTGCTGTTCCCTAAAGCAGGTTGCACAGAGCACTCAGTCTAGGGGATGTTAAGAAGCGTTACGAGAAAGAAATTTCTGCGCTCAAATGGCCTTGATAAATACTAGATTAAAAAAGCAAAGCAAGTTTCTATACTGCAGGATTTTCCAGTGCCTTCAACATGATCATACACTTAAAATCTCTAAGAGGGAAGTATTTAATGCCATGCCCTCTAAAGTTATTTAAATACTAATGTGTTCATAGAGCCCCTTGAGGGACTTGCATGTCACACAATCACTATCAGAAACAGGACAACAGTGGTCCGATTTTGTTTCCTCCTGCAGCCGTAGTGCCTTCAGCACTGCCTGGCACACACACTTACTCGATGAATAGCTTTTGAACAAATGAATGAATGTAAACAGTGCCTTAGGCACATTAGAAACTCAACACATTCTCTAAGTTGAGTTTAATTGATTCGCTGCAATCCTTCCAAATATGCATTTCTATAACCAGGGATTTTACACGGCCTCTGCTCAACTGTATTCAATCCGTTAATCTGAATTCTCTGTTAAGCAGAGTTTTGGAGGCAGGGACCTAGTTTTGGTCCAGTAGGTACTCCTATGGTAACGTGGGTTACTGCAGACAGGGTAAGTCAGTAAGTGTAGGCAAAACAACCGGAAGGATGTCTGGTGTTGAGACAGAGCCCAAGCAGGAGAGAAGGTGGCAGACGGTTACTCTGTTTGATGGCCCACCAGTTTCCACTTTCCTGCAAACACTGCAGTGGGTTCCTTGCGATGGGCCTACATCCTTACAATAAATATGTCTCTACTTGTAACAGTGGGAGGGTTTGTTTTGGCTCCTTAGACCCACATGATCACCACCAAAGTCCCCTGACAGTTCTGGGAATGAGAAGGACCTCTCTTCATCCATCTCTCTCCCAGGGCCACTTGGGTCTGTGCATCTACTCCACCTGCTTCTAACCAGCATCTTCAGCTTCTCCATTTCACATGTGTCCATCGCCACACACACCCTCCTCTTTCTGTCAGTTACCTAGACGACATCACAAGCCACTCCAGAAGTTCGCGCAGGAAGCTGCAGATCATCTGAGCAGTTCTGGCCTGGGCCAGGCTCAGCTGATCTTGGCTAGGTTTGCTCAACATCTGTGGTCAGGTGGTCAGCAGGGCTACTGGTCTAGGATGGCCTCACTCACAGTTTTTCAAGAGGCTGGATGCCAACCACAGTAGTGGGGGCACCTGAGCCATGCATCTCTCATCCTTCAGCGTGCTAGACTGGATTTACTCACACAGCAGCTGGCGGGTCCTGAACGGGCTCCACCTCACAGCTCTCTCTTTTGAATCCTCATTTAACCACACTCACCACTCTTTCTATCCTGATGCTCAGGACAGCCTGCCATCAGCCAGGTGGAATTTTCTTTTCCACTGAGTATCAACCATATCCGGGATTGCCGGTTTTAACAAGTAAAAATACAGGATGCCCTGTTAGTATGGATATTATATAGACAGCAAGAACATTTTTTTTATTGTAAGTATGTTCCAAATATTGCATGGAATATACTGATCCTGAAAGACTATTTGTTGAGATTCAAGCTTAACTGGGCATCCTATATTTTATCTGTCAATCCTCTCCTCCCACAGCCCAGCCTCAAGAGAGAAGGGGGGCTGGGGGGGGCACAACCTGCCTCTAGGATGCATCAGTGGCCCTCTGTAGCCAGCAGGGGGCAGGGCTAACCTTTGATGCTGGGGCCATGGGTGTGGGCTCAGTACCTTTTCTTTTCACTGCCTGCCTCCACGTAAGTGGTAAGTGATAAAATGCAGGCAGGGGTTACCCATTATTTGAATGATCCCAGATACTTTGAGAAACATTTCCCCCTCAAACAGGAAGCCAATTAAGGCATCACCATGATCCATATGATTCAGTGTTGCCTCATTAATCTGCATCTATTTTGTGCCAAGTAAGATTCTGCATCTCACTCTATACGCACTTCTTTGCCTAGGCCATCCTGATGTTATTTAAACATTTCGTAGCCTGAGCGTTTTATAGGTATTTCACACTGGTGGCCCATGAGCTGAATTTGGGACTTGGATTTGGGAACTTTGCCCACAAGTGCAAACCCCATAGGTTAGGCCATCAAGAGATAGGCTCTCTCCACACAGGAGCAGGCTCCGCTCCCGTGTCACTCTCCGGCATCTCACATAACTACAGCAGGCAGTCAGTCCAGGCCAGAGCCCTTCACACAGGCTTCAGTCATCCCTTCCCCTAACCTTTGGGGAGGGCTTTCTTCCTGACATGGGCAGCCAGAGCAGGACGAACTCCCCCATCATGCACTCAGTAGGAAACACGGGGCAAATGTGGTCTACTCTCTGGAACATTCTCACTCCACAACCCCCATCCCTCCACTTACACCAGCGGCTTTCTGTCTTGAGCCATTTTAATGGTAAGATTCCAGATTCGGGTTTGGATTTGAGAGGAAACAGGTGTATCAGGTCTGAGGCATAAATCAGTAGGTTTAGCCCACCTGATGAGGGTTTTGTAGATGACATTGGTTCAAAGCCATAGCCAACAATATAATAAACTTTAGGTTTCCATTTGTCTTTTGCATCTTGTTCAAACATCACTGTGGGGAAACTCTTGGAGTGGTAGGGCTGTGAACTGGAGCAGGACATGGGTGTTTCCAGATCTGGGTCCTGTTATGATCATAATGGTGCACTGGTTTCTAACACATCAGGGAACAAAGAAAGTAAAAACCCTCCTCCACAATGTTGAGAGATCCAGAAAAGAGATAATAAGATTTCTTACTACCTAGTACTCACTCAGTGGAGTTAGCTTGGGGGTCGCAGACAAGTGTGGTGGGTTCATGAGAGAAACAGAATCAATAGGAGATTTCTATTTCATATCAATATTTTTATGTGTATCTACATCGTATCTATATCTTATCTATATCTGTATCTATCTATGTATCTATATCAAATCAGAAATATGTCACACATGCATCACAGACATTTCCCTGGGTATATTCATGCCCACAGAGAACCCTTCTTGCCGTCCTCTCTGTATAGTGCTTATTTTTTCTTGTTTTGCTCACCATTTTCCCCCACTAGAATGTAAGCCCCATGTAGGCAGGGGTTATTGTTCACTGCTCTATTCCCAGCCCTTAACTAACACTGCCTGGCACAGGTGTGTGGCAAATCTGTATTAAGCAGTGAATGCGTGTGTCCCAACAGCCCTGCATGTGGCACATGTAGTGGCCATGCACATGCTTTAATGTGAGCACTTGCTCAATGTCCATCTTCACTGCAAGTCTGAGAGTCCCACAAGGATGGGACTCATGTGTCAAGTTCACACTCTACTCTCAGAATCTTCCAGAACGCCTGACCCAATGTAAAACGCCTGATTCAGGAACCTCTACCTTTAACATCTCTGACTTGCATGTTCCCAGGACTTATTTCTGCAGAAGCCAGTTCCACTGTTGGAGAGGATTTTGGCAGATCTTCAAGCATTTGAATATAGCTATTACTCAATTTTTAGTTCAAAGCAACAGAAAGGTATGCACGCGTGGCAAGTAGCCCAGGACATGGGGTGGGTCTTCTAGGGTTCTTTCCTCTCTCATAAGAGAAATGGTGTCCACAGGAGCAATAGGCAGGCATGGCAAGGTGGGAAGAGGTGCAGAGGGCCAAAGGGGGCCCGCTGGGACATGGGGTAATGGAGTGGTGTGTGCTGGTGGTCTGATAGAGGAGATTGTGGGGTGAGCCAGGCCTGGCATGTGGGGGTGGGTCCTTCTGGCAGGCCCTTTACCCTGGCTTCACCCAGCTTGGTCTAATAGTGCCCAGCTGTCAGACAATTTTCCCAGGCACCACCATGTCCGCATGTGCTTGCCAGCCTGTAGCTGCTCCCCACTGTCTAGCAGGACAAAGTCCACACCCCTCGCCCTGGCGTCCGAAGCCTCCAACCTTTTCCCTCCGAACACCTCTGCAGCATTTTCTTTTGCTGTGACCCTGCATACACACTCTATTGAGCCAAAACCGGGCTTCTCGGGCTTTATTGGAGCATACCTTTTCCTCTCTTCCCCCAGGGCCCCTTGCCCATGGCATTTCTCCCCCACTTTCCCCAGACACATTTTCCCTTTATTTAGGGCTTACCTGGTTTTCAAAGTCCAACTCAAGTCTGACCTTCTTGGAGTGGGTGGGTGGGTCTCTACTACTGGTGCCTTTTGGGCTGACTCCTTCCTAGACGTGCACCACCACCTACAGCCTCCCGCCAGATTTTAGCATCGACTTCATTGTGGCGATGGGCATTGTAACACATGGGGTACACACACACAGCTGAGTGGCATCCGTGTGTGTCTCCCCACTAGGTTCAGACAGGCTCCTCTTTAAGACTGGGTGGGCACACCTGTTGGAGGGGACCTTCCTGCTTCTCTAGGAAACTGCACTCCAGTACTGCCTCCAAGTTCATCCCACTGATCAAATCTGTGCCCTACGCCCACTGTGCCACCTGGTGACATTGACCCTCCCCCTTCCTTCGATCTCGGGCTTGCCCTTGGCATTTGACCTCCTGTGCTGCAGTAGTCCAGCCTCACACCCCTTCCTGCCATGGAGAATGGTTTGGAGCTGCTACCTCTCAAGGTGATGCCGCCCCTGACGCCTGGGCAGTGACACCGCAGGAGGACCTCGCCTCACTGGAGAGCTGAGATCGGCCACTGTGAAGGGAGAGACCTGCCTACTCCTGCTGTCCTGGGTGCCTGCCCCTGGGATCCGACCCCAGGGACACTCAGGGAAAACCTGCAGTGGGGGGTGGTGGGGTATGGACAGCTCCTGGGAAGCCACCCATGAGGCTGTTCCCATTTTCAACTTCCTAACTAGTTTTCGGAAACTATAAAACTATTGCTTTCAGCTTTCTAATCTGACACCCAATTTGAGGAGAACATGGGGCGGATGCCTGAAGGCTGCTCTGTGTGCTGACACTCCGTCGCAAGCATTGCCCTCAGCACTCACAAAACCCAGGGGCAACTTTATTAGGGTGTCTGCACACTGGCTGGTGGGCACTCCCGGCAGCCTGCAGTCAGGCTGGCACTGGCCTTCCTGCTTGTTCAGGGGCTTGGCGGGAGGCAGGACAGTGCCGGCCTCCCTCCACAGTCACCCCGCAGCCGGGTTGACGACTTTTCCCAGGAAGAGTAGGCTCTGGGTGGTCACGTCCCAAAGGAGGACCAGGAAAGGCCTGCTGAAATGGGCCTGGAGAGCCGTGGTTGCGTTCAGAGGCCGCGGTTGGGACAGGAGGCCTGATGCAGCCCCGGCCTTGGTCCCCCGCTCATTCATGTCCAGCGCCGCCTTGTGTGACACCTAGGAGAGTGTGGGGTGGGGGTGCAGAGACCTCATCAGCTCCAGATGCCTTGGGGACAGATTCCCCCTTGTGCCCTACCAAGGAGAGGGAGGCAGGGTCCCCCTCAGGCCCCATGTGCTTGCCTTCTAAGAAGAACCCCAGCCTTTATTTCACTTCATTGCCCTCTTCTCTGCATCTCTCCCTCTCACTCCTGTCCTGGGGTTCCCCCCAACTGTGCCACCTGCTCTCCAGTGGGAGACACATGGCCCTGAGCAGGGCGGAGGGCTGCCGAGCATAAGCCAGCCTCCAAAAACCCAGCAGAGCTTTCGAGAGCATCCCTGAAGCCCGGGGGGGCCGGTGGCACAGGCCCGAGGCCATCTCTGCTCCAGGCCCCCCCTGCCCTACCCAGTCTTGGCCTTCTCACCCTTAACACGGTTTGCTCAGCCTAAATCTACGGCTCTCAAAATGATCTCAGTGGAACCAGGTTAGCTGATGTGCCAGGCCCCCTACAGGCCTCGGAGAGGAATTTCTTTTTTTAAACTTCTATTTTCATACAACTTCTTAGGGAGAAGGCTTCTGAATGAGGCTTTAGAAAAGCACTGAAACATGTTGGCCTTGACCATCCCTTTCATTTCTAGAAAGCTCTGTACAGAGATCAATCTAGCCTTTAAGGTCACTGTGAAAGGAGTTCTTTAAAAGGCTAAGTTATTTCTTTTCCTTCTTGTTCACCCTCTCTTCTGGGGGCATGTGTTTGCACGTGTCCCCACGTGCCCCCACATGCCCCCCCCACACACACACGAGCACGTCCCTAGTGCCCTGGTCTCACATTCCAAATCCCTGTGGGCCTTTCCCAAATGAAAGACATTATATTTTCTCTAAAAAGTTCCCAGCTGGACTCCAATGGCAGTTAATGATGCTACCTTCAAACAAAAAGGATGATGGAAGAACAGGGAAGGGCATTTGCTGTCTTCCACCCTATGAAAAATTGCATTATTCTTCCCAAATATTAACTCTCCCTTCCCACTAGAGGGTTAGTCCTGCCCACACCCTGTGACTAGCAACGCCCCCTGCAGGAGGAGAGCGCAGACCCACCGCCCGGATGGTGGCCTTGACTGTGGGGCTTGTTTTAGGCAGTGGCATGTGAGCTACCTTGACATAGGCCACATGTGATATGTTAAAAGCCATTGCACATTTTCTCTGGCTTTTCCCCCACTGCTGTGAACATGGCATGAACAAATTAGGGGCTTCTCCTTCACACTACACCTTGGAAAGAAGACCTGTGAAGCAGATCTATAGCCAGCTGGTGCTGGCACACCCCTGACAGATAACATGAACAGGAAATAGACCTTTGTTAGAATAAGGCACTGTGATTTGGGGGTTGTTTGTGGCTGCAGCAAGGCCGGTGGCTGTGCCTCCAGTCAGTGCCCCGTCGCGGTCCAGCTATAACAAAGACAGAATTTCACAGCCTGCCCTAAGAGGAAGTACAGGAATAAAAATGAGACTATTCCCACACCTGGGGAAACTTGCCTTCCTGGACGGCTCTGAATGTGTGTCTATTCCATCCAGGACTCTGTCCTGCTCTGAAGAATATAGAGGCGGGCGTGGAAAGGGAGCTCATGAAAAGAAGGCTTAAAGATCGTGATACTGAAGAACCAGAAAAAGAAAAAGAAAGGGAACTTGTCTTTCAAATGCACTTAATGTCAAGGGAGAAAAGAACTCCCCCCGGAAACACACACACGTCCACATTTGCGACCTTACCCTGGAGATGGTTTTGTTGAGTTGCCCAGTGATTCCTGATAAGTCGGCTTCTAGGTTGAAGATGTTGGTGAGGCCCATGTGGGGAAGTATTTCTTCCAAGTTATATGCTCCAGAAACCGAGACCCTTGGCAGATGCAAATCCAACAGGCTGGAGAGGGAATCAGACAGAAAAGTGGGGCTGTCCCGTTACTCACGATGCTTCTGTCGTGTTGGCAACCTGAGCAGAGGGAGGGGGACCAGTCTTCCTGCGACAGTACCTGCCATGCCAGAACATGCCACCACACACAGCCCCTCCTCTTCAGACCTTACAGACCTCTTGGGGCCTCTTCACAGACCACAGACCTTGTGTCTTGATCTGAGAAGACTCCTGGGACAGCCGTATGTCTCCATATGTCTTGGGCACATTAACGGAGGACTTTCTAGATGCTGGACATGGGGTTGGGATTTTTTAGAAGGCTGATTAAACTGATGACTTCCATCTAATAACCATGTGGGGTAATATTGTTGACATTTTCCTACCTCCATGCCTGATTCCTCAGCACGCTCGGCTGGCTCAGCTGCTGATGGGTACCCTTGGCCCATCTTCTGGCCACCCCTCTGTATGAGCCACTGCCATCTGTCACCTGACTGTGCTTTGGGGGCTCTTAGGAGGAGCTGGTGAGAGATCCTGTTTGTACCATGTGGGGCCTTTTCCTTGCTGTGGCTGGCATGCTTTTACCGTTGGATCACCACCCCCCTGGGGTTAAGTTCACAAGGTCTTTTGCTGCAGAGCAAATCTGTCCTGTTCTTCTCGGGATTCCTCTTCTTAAGTATTGTTTGACAGTCGCCAGGGCACCCGCAAGCTTGGCTAGTGAGATATAATGAGTCATAAGAAATACCTGTTTGGTCATTCAGATGACCAAATATATATTTCCCAGGTATATTTGATCTTCATCCACAGTTCCTGAAAACACTGCAGAGTCTCAAAGGTGAACCAGTGTTTTGTCATGTTAGTGAGAGACTGTTAGATCCCCCACCCAAGGGCAGGGGTGGAAAGCTGAATCAGCCAATGGCCAGTAACTTAGTCAATCAGGCCTATGCAGTGAAGCCCTCACAAACCCCCCTGAGAAGAGCTTATCGCCCTCTGCTCTGCGCAGCTGGATCCTGCTTCTCAGTGGGAGGGAGCTTCTGTGCTGGGAGAACTAGGATACCACGTGCCACGCAGCCAGGCCCCAAGCTCCACGAGGACAGAAGCTCCTTTATGTGGGACCTCGCCCTGTGTCTCTCTTCATCTGGCTGTTAACTTGTATCCTTTGCAGTATCCTTCATTACATTGGTAAACATAAGTGTTTTCCTGAGTTCTGTGAGCCGCTCTAGCAAACTGATTGAACCTAAGGTGGAGGTCATGGGAATCTCCAATCTATAGCCAGTAGGTTAGAAGCACAGGGAACTGCCTGAGGCTTGCGACTGGTGGGTGGAGGGCAGACTTGTAGGACAGAGCCCTTAACCTGGGAATCCAGTGCTGCTTCAGGCAGATAGCACCAGAATTGAGCTGAGTTCTCAGACACCCTGTTGGTGTTTGAGAATTGCTTGGTGTTAGTATGCGTGGGAAGACCCCCCTCCCACATATTTACACACACTGGAATTGGGTCTGGGAACCCAAATGGAGTTATATACTATTACTTCTGAGTATAATATTGTTATTGCTGTACATATACGTAGGGAAAGACAACACCAGTGCATTTGGTGTCAGATGAGTGAGATTAGCAGCTAGTTAATAACCAGCTTAGAAACTTCTGCCTCTAATGAATTCACATGAGAGATCCTAACTCAGGTTAGGGAATCATTGCCTGTTTACTTTCTGGGTAATATGAGGGTCCACGTGCCTAACTGAAGTGAGAGGCAGTTGGAAATTGGGGTTGAACAGTGAAAAGGAGAGAAAGGATGTAGAGAACAGTGAACAAGACATCTTAGCTTTTACGACAAATTTTCCACATGCAGCACTGAGAGGGCAGGCCCACGCCCTGGAAGGGGCTTTGAGCAGAGTCTAGCAGAGGGGTGCCTAGTAGAGAGCCCGACACACGGGAGGCCTTCAGTGTAAATGAAGAATGAATAGTTTGCAGGAAGCATAGTTTCCCTCAGGAAGCTAACCATCCTCACAGCTGAAGGAGGGAGGCCTGGCAATCGTCAGCTTTCATGTCTGAAAGCCCATTAAAATGCTGCTCTGACATCGGAACTCCCCAGCGCAAGAACAGGGAACATCTGAGATTTAGAAAAATAACTTGAGTTGGCTTTGCATTTTGAAAGTCAAAGTAAGAAGTCAAAACAGACTTTTCTGAGGGAAAGTCAACTGGTCTAGAAGATTCTACGGTACTTACTCCCATGATGGGGGAAAGGGGCAGTCTCACCCCAAGGGAGCTGGAGAATATAGGGCTGGAATCAGAAAGTACCAAAGCTGTATAGATTGACTGACAGCAAGAGTAATCCATTAAATTCTGGCTCTTGGCCTTGACCTGTATCTCTTTTATTTGGCACTTGAATCTCTGTCCAAACACAAAACATCCTTTTCTATGCTTGATGCCTCAGTGTGGTTGGGTTGCTGAGAGAAGGCTCCTGTAGGCATGAGGATGCCTGGTGTTTGCCAAGTGGTGGTGGATCAGAGATGGCCACTGAGAGAGATGGTCTGTACCTCCACTGCTGGAATTGGGTGGGTTCTGTGTCTGCTCTAACCTAAAGAATATGGCAGAAGTAACACTTAAGAGAGTGGAGCTTTTCTTTTCTGTCTTTTGGAACACTCCTTGGGGCCCTGAGCTGCTCTACAGAAACATTTGCTACACTGAGCTGCTGTGCGGAACCCAAGCTAGTCTTGTGGAGATGCTGCATTGAGAGAGGGATGTCAGCCAGGCAGCCCAGTCTCCAGAAACTGAGAGGAGGAGACTTCAGTGCTCCAGCCCCAGCCACCGTGGGGCTCCAGTGATGGGAGCCCCAGGGGAGAACTGGCCACAGAATCAAGAGAAAGAATAGTTTTTTTCAAGGTATTCCATTTTGGGGAGGTTTGTGATGCAGAAAGATATCATTAGAACCCAAGGCCAGATTGCATCCCAGACCACCCATGAAGGAAGAAACACCCCAAGAAGGGATTAGCTGGTGAAGGGGGTCTAGGCAAGCCAGAAAAGGCAGAAACACTGCGAGAAAACCACAAAATGAGAGGAGTAAGATGGAAGGGAGTAAGATAGAGGTCCCATGAAACTGACACTTTGATTTTTACAATTCTCTCCTTGGTATTTAATTTCTTAAAGAAATGTTTTAATTAAAAAAAGGAAGCACTTTTAAGAACAGGCACTGTTCTGTGGGGGTCATAATTATTTTGAGTAATTGTCCTTGATCTGATTTTTTGCCTACACTTAACTGACCTTTCGGTCGTAAATTATTATTTGGAGAAAAGGAGAAGCAAGGGGAAAGGAAGTCAGCCTGAATGACCCCGAGGAAGGGACCAGAGTGATTAATGCCTGGTGAGCACTTATCGGGAATCAGGCAACACGCTCAGAGCGCTATACATATTAACTTGGTTAATCTCCAAGCTCCCCAATGTGGAGATTATTATGGTCTCATTTTACATTTCAGGAAACCTGATGCCTAAAACGTAATAGAATTGCCTAAAACATACAGTTAAAAGGCAAGTCCGTTGAGCCAAACTTAGAATTTGGACTCTTGCAATTGGCGTTGATTAAGACCTGTCCTGATTCTTGAACAAAGTCTGCTTGAGTCCTTCCACCCTGAAACTCACCTGAGAAACAGCAATCGATCCCATTTTCTCAGGGTCTCTGGCTGCAGAGCTGCTTCCACATGCTCCATCTTCCCAGGGTCAGGGAGGATCAGCAAGGCCAGGGCATTTCCGCTGTATTCTATCTGGAGTACAGTGCAGGCCACCTCCTGGTCATAGAGGAACCTGTGCATCTCCTTATGGTGCATCATAGGGACGTGGAGGGAGGTCCTCTCATCCACAAAGAAGCTCTCTTGCTTCTGGGTCTGGTAGCGATTGAAAGGCTGCTTCCACTTGGCTTAGGACACAAAACCCATGAAACTATGAACATGCACTCCATGAGAGCAACTCTGGGCAGACATGCACTAAGCCACCCTGGTTTGGGGGCTTCCTCTTGGGTATCTAAATATAAGGAGGCAGAGAAGTGACATGGATACAGAATCAGGGGGACAGAATTTGAGGTCAGGCCCAGCCACTAAAGCATGTCTCCAGAATTTGAGCTTTAATGGCCTGTGATTTCATTTCAGTTCAGAAGCACTTGGCCTTTAAGATGCTGAAAGCTATTTCCACCTACTAAGCCCCTTCCATGTACCAGGTATTATCTCTTTATATCTTCATAAAAACTGATATGAAAAAGTATTGTGATCTCCATGTCAAAGATGAAAAGAGGAACGTCTGTGAGTTTATAAAGACCCAATTTGCAGAATCATTATGTGGTAGAGCGGGATGGTAACAAACACTGAGTTGACCCCTCTCTGCCAAGCCATCTCTAGACAGCAACAGTCTTCTACAGAGAAGCTTGAGAGCCGCTCTCTACCTCCCAAATCCCTAACATTCAAACTGGAAAAGGAGAAAGAATTCAGCTAATAAATGTAATATATATAATGCAAAAGTCCATTAAGATATGGTTAGAATTGCAGAATATAGTTAGAATTGCAGACTGTCAGTCATTGTCTGATCCCCTTGTGTAGTATCTTTTTTTTTCCTATTTATAATTTCCACCCACAACCATCTCCTGACTTGGCTTCCTGAAACCACTCATCTTGGTGACAACAATTGGGGTCAGGTGGCTCATCCTGTCCCTCATGCCCATACCCAATCAATGGCCAAGTCTTGCTGATTCTCTCTCCAAAGCCACAACTTTATTTGAGGCTACCATCTTACCTACTTTGGACCACTTTGGAAACCTCAAAACTTATCTCTGCTCTTGACCCTTACTCCCATCCCAAACCATTTTCTGAATTGTACCAAGCCTTGTCTTTCTCAAACAGATGTGATTGTGTCACTCCACTACTTTAAACTTTTTGGTAATTCTGGGGTCCTATGGCATCTCTTGGCACATACCCCCATGTATTTCCCCATTTTGTTCCATGCTCTAATCTAACTCAAACTGTTTCCTTTCCTTGGACCTTACACTTGCTGTTTTTTCAACCTGAACTCTCTTCTCGTCATTTCTCCCACAATTTCTTTGCCTGGGTAAATTCAGCTCATTTTTCATATCTCAGCTTAAATCCCTTCTCTTCCAGGAAGCCTTCCCTTACTCCCCAAGTCTGGAAAGGTATATCTTTCAAGAGTTCCATACCTACTCAAGTAAAACATCACTTTCCCATTGAGCTGTATTTACCTTTTTACTTATTTACAGCACATGTAGAACTATAAGATACATAGGATGGGCAAACTCTATCTTACTTACAGGTTTTCCTGAGAGGCTAGCAAAGTCCCTGTGATATAGTTATTACTTGATGTATGTTTCTGAATGAATAAATGAATAGCATCCCTAAAGGCCTCAAACATGAGACCTAAGTTTAACTTGAAATTATTCATTCAGCAAACATTTAAGACATGCTTGACCTATATCAGACTCCAGAGAATCAAAGATGATTAAGACTTAGGCCCTTGAGACTTCTGGTCAGCGTCACAGACTGAATTAGAGAGGAAAAACCTACTTTTTCTGCTTAAACACTTAGAAAATAAAGATAGGATAATGGAAAAATAAATAAATACATAGCTGAGTTCAAAAACAAGAAGCAAAGCCTCCAGATACAAACCAGGAATGCATATTTCTGATTTGGAGCTGAAATCATCTGGCTCATGGGTTATCAAAATGAGATAAGCAGTTAGGGGGTGGTGTTTAATGTCTTCTCAGGAGAAGTAAATGAAATGCAGGCCCACACTTGGAAGTGATCTGTCTGCAAGTGGCAAGAAGCTATGAAAGGCAATCCTTTCCCCATAGGAACCTGAACTGAGAAACTCCGGGCCCAGCAGCACAGAGATGAGATAAGACAGCTCACCACATTTCCAGGCCAGGAGGGAAGGAGTCGCCTACTCTGTGTTCTTTGCTCTCATAACACACTCAGTGTAGGAACTCTCCAACCTAGAAGAGAGCTATGCACTCATTAATCATTCATGACAGCAACCCCTCAACCTGGAAATTAATATAGAACTGGTGAGACAAATAGAACTAGACCAGAGCATATGTGAAATTGTCCCCTGAAGACACTTCCGCAACTGGCCACAAGAAACTCTCACAGAAAGTTAATTTCTACTTAAAATGAGCTCAAAGCTGAAAATTCCAGTCCTCTCTTGAGAGAGAATCAGTAGGCACAACAAAACCAAGAAGTCACAGCTTAAGATCTCCAGATAATGGGATCACCTGAAAGGCATTTTTAAAAAGTGTGTTAAAAAAAGGTAAGGAATAAAATTCATAGGAACAGGCCATTATGACAAAATAAAAAGTACATCTAAGAAAAATAGAAATTCTTTAAGTGGAAATATAGTCAGTGAAATGAGAAGCTCAGCAGGTGAGTTAAACAATAGATTTAGACACGGCCTAAGAGAGATTTAGTAAAACAGAAGCTAGAACTGAAGAAATCACCAGTGGCAGCACAGAGAGGTAAAGAGATGTTTTCCTGGGGGCAGGAAACATAAAAGATGAGCCTGGTGCATCCTGTTGTACCAGAAAGTAAGGAAGTTTTCCCTTAAAACAAACAAACAAACAAACAAACAAAAATCAGCAATGATGGGGGCATATCAAGGAACATGGGAATGGACTGAAAGCTCCCAGTGGTCAATGCTGGAAAACTTTTGAGAAACAAAATTAAGTAGCATTGGATTAGAATCCAAAGTATAAAATGAATATCCATGAATGCATGATTATGTATATAAATGGTTGAATGAATAAATGTGGGAGGTGAAAAAATCTCCCATGCTGAATAATTCTGAATAATTTATGTAGATCCTCCTCTGTCAAGGAGATGGACCATAACTCCACACTCCAGAAGTGTGGGATGTACATAGTGACCTCATTCTAAAGAGCACAGTATAGGAGTGGGGACAAAGAGTAACTTTCCAGTAGAGAAATCTGACAAGCATCATCTCAGCTAGCTGATCAAGGTCAACATCAACAGTGATAGATCACTTTGTAGCATGTATCCTTGATATGATGTGATATGAGTGGCACTTCACCTCCATGACCTTTCTCCTCCAAACCATCACTGCATTCTAATCATGGGGGAACCATCAAGTGAATCCCAATTGAGGGGCATTCTGCAAAATGCCTAGCCAGTACTCCTCAAAGTCGTCAAGGTTATTAAAAGCTAAGAAAGTCTGAGAAACAGTAACAGCTAAAAGGAGCCTAATGACATGGTGACCAAATATAATGTGGATCCTGGATAAGATCCTGGAATAGAAAAAAATTAGGTGAAAACTAAGGAAATCTGGATAAAGTATGGAGTTGAGTCTAAAACAATTGAGGAGCTAATTTTCCTAGTAGCAGATATTGTTATCATAGGCTAAATATTTTATATATTGTTATATATGCTACTAATTCAGGAAACAACTGAAATAAAAAGAAATGGGCCCTAAAAGTATCAAATGTCCAATGCAATAGTCAAAATAAGCTATCTATATAAATTAAGATGTGATGACAATAATAAAACATAAGTGAAAAATAATATGTATGATGTGATATCATTTATATAAATTTTTAAAACACATAAACTGTATTGCATATGATTTTGGATACATTTTTAATGGACTGATGGTGTGGACTCAAGGATGAGAAGGATACACACCAACCCTAGGAGAGTGGTTGCCTCTGGGGAGGGATGGAAGGTGAGAAATGGGACCAGGGAAGGATTAAAAGGAATTGAAATGTATCTGCAGTATTATATTTTTAAAAATCTAAAGCAAATGGTAAAATGTTAATATTTGTTCATTTTGAGGGGGAAGTGTATGGTGGTTTTTATATCATCCTTTGTATAATTCTCTATGTTTGAAATAGATAATAATACATAAAATGCTTCCCTAAAAATGAATTATTAATAGAAAAATGAGATGGAGTGTAAAACAAAGAAATCTGAATAAAAATAGAAGAAATGTCAAGAGAAACCAAATATTGGTAAACCTAGAAGTAGTTGTTTAAGAGCATTATTTAAATATGCTGAAGCAACAACCAGAAGCAGCCAGAAGACATGAAGGTAGGTGGCTCTTCAGGGCAGGGCTAGAGGTGGCCGTGGCGGCGGTAATGCTGTCCAAGTCAGCCCTCACCTTTGAAGAAGATGTAATTCAAGAGAACCATGAGTGTGTCCCGGGTGAAGCCCTGGAGGCAGTCCATGACCAGCCCGTATGTTTGCTTTCTCATGTAATCATTAATCTGCCTCCCGGTTGTAGCAGAATCTGTGAAGTTGGCAGAAAAAGCAAAAGCTCTATACACTTCCCTGATGTCGTCCAAAAAGTGCTGCTGAGGCTTTAGTTGCTTGTCCAAGAACAAGGAGTTGCCTACTTTCAGTTCCAGTTTGGGGCTGGGCAGGTCAAGGGTGTGGATGAGGCTCTGGAAACCCTGGTGGATGGCAGCTTCTGGGGTCTCCGTGAGGTTGAAGCCAAGGGCTTCCAGGATCTGAGTCGGGGCGTCAGCTTGGGCCCCAAGAGAGAGCAGGGCCAGGGTGGTAGCGATGCTCACTGGGGAGAAGAAGATGTTTCCTGGGGTTTCCGCTGCCAGATGCTTATACAACCGCAAAGCAAATTTGGTAATGGTGTGTGTGACTTTGTGGTAGGTGGGGGCTGGCTCTGGGAGCTGCTCACTGGGGGCTTGAGGCACCCCCAGACTCTTCTCTGCATGGGCAGGAAGGCGCTGACAGTGGAGAGAGGCCAGGATCCCTGCTCCCAGCAGCCACAGCCAGGCTGGCCCCATCTTCTGAAAACAAGATGTTGAACATGTCATTCTTCTTCATAAGTAACTTCGTGGTTCCCCATTGCTTTCACAATAAACCTCAAAGCCCATCCGTACCCCACAGAGGTGTCATGAGGGACACAGCAGAGGAAGAGGTGGCGGGTAAGCATGAAGCGATGCATTTTCCCCCAAGGCTGCAGTCAGAACAGCAGCCCTAAGTCTGTATTACATATTGACCCATGTATAAGACTTTGTTTCTCCCCAAAGTCTTATACACACATCAGTTATGGACTCCAGGCTATAAAAAAGAGTTCCATGGTCTACTCTCCCTGCCTCCCTCCCCGCATCCTTCCTTCTCTCTCTTTTCCTCCCCCCTTCCTTTCCTTCCCTTTTTACTTTTTCTTTTTTCTTTCTTATTTCCAGTAATTCTTTCAATCATATATTAATGCTCAAGGATTGGGGTAACAGTCCATTAAGTAGAGCAGATGTTCAGGACACTGACCATGAGCGATGCTGGACCTCCATGCACTCAGGTGCGGCCATTACCTGCCGTCTCACCAACTGGAGGGGAGGGGACTGGAAGATGTGTGCAACTCCTGGGTCAGGTCCTCACACAAAGAGGGGTGCCCTTACTCCTTTGGACTGCCATTAGGTGGGGTGTGGTGCGATCATCAGCCTTACACACCTTGTGGGTGAGGGCAGCCCAGGAGGGGTGGCAGAGCCCCAAGATGGATGAACCCTTTGGGGAGAGACTGGCTGTGTCTCCATGAGGCTCGTTCTCTCCAATACCACTCGTCACATGCAGGAGCTGTATCTTAACAGGTGCAGAAGTTTAGGAAAGGTATCTGTTACAGGGTGAATTGTGTACACCCCTGCCCCCTAAGTTTATGTGTTGAAGCCCTAATATCAGTATCTCTGAATGTAATGTTGTTTGAAAATAGGGTCGTTGAGGTTGTCATCAGTTAAGTGAAGGTGAGGTCATTAGATGGGCCCTAACATAATATGACTGGTGTCCTTCTAAAAAGAGGAAGTACAATCATAGACACCCAGTCAGGGAGAGCGCCATGTGAGGATGATGGCAGATGCTCCCTCATCTGAGGAATCCCACAGGGCCGGCAGCCCCCAGAAGCCAGAGGAGAGGCCGGGAGCAGATTCTCCCTCCCGGCCTCGGATAGCACTGAAGTTGTAATCAGCAACTTTACTACCTTTTGCCTGAACCAATGGCCTCCGGATTGTTACAAAGGCCACGGTAATGTGGTAGAGATGTATTTCTGTAGATGGTTTTTAGCACCTGGCACCCTACATACCCAAACCCCAAAGGCCACTTGTCAGGAGGGACAAATGTAGCCTCATGATCGGGTGTGTTGACACAAGCGTGCCGGTCAAAGTGCTGTGGGTGATTTCCCAAGACCATCCTCCCTCCCTCCACAGCTCCGAGTGGGCTCACTTAATGAGAGTTGCCATCCACACTGGGAAGCAGAGCGCCTTAAAAATTGGCCTGCCCCTGGGGAAATAAGAAATACAGCTGTAATAAAATGATTTTTGTTTATTCTTTTCATCCCATTGAGCTCACCACCATTTTCTATCCTACTGCACCTTAAAGGTTCCCGGACATGCAGAAGAAGGTAGTTCCCAAAGGGGATGGAATTGTAAGTCAGGGGGCCTGGGTTGGAATCAAGTTTCTATCTCACTGTGTGATCTGAGCAAAGGAACTGCTCTGAACCTCAATATCCCCATTTGCAAAATGCAAATGATGCCTGCCTCCTGGGGGATGGGGTGGCTTAAAGATTACAAAACGTACAATGTATAAAGCACCTGGCACGTACAAAGTATGCAGTGTTAATTTTCACCCCTTTCTATGGAGGGCGGGGTTTAACAACACCCAATTTATGTCTCTATTCTTTTTCCAGAAAGATCCCAGAGGAAAATTAAAAACTCCGATTAATTACAACGTTCCCATTTATTGTTTGTACTGGGGTGGGGTATTAGATACACTGCACAGCTGGTTCCCAGCCACAGTGTTCTCAAATGCAGGGGGTGGGGTGCTGAGAGGGGGGATGGTATTGAGATCATCTCAAAGACTGGAGAGGGGGTGCTACTGGAGTTTAGTGGGAGAAAGAAAGTGGTTGAAATGTCAGCACTGTTGCATGAAATGAAGAATAGCCCTGCTGGGTGCCAGCAGTGCTCTTGGTGAGAAATAAGTACTTCATGTTGTTTAATTGAATCCTTATGAGAACCTTAACAAATAGGTATTATTATCCCTGTTGTACATATGGGGAAACTGAGACTCAGGGTCAACACAAACACCTGTTAAGTGGGGGGAGCATGATAGACCAGAGCCTGAAGTACAGCCCTTTCCATACAACAGAGTTTCTAGTAAATTAGCTGCAACAATGTTGCCACTTTGTTTTGAGTTACATTGTTCTGTTTCCTAACTGCCAGGAATAGAGGGAGATCCTTTCTCAAAATTTTTGAAGGACAAGTTTTCCATAAAAGGTCGTTTAAACCTACAGTTCCTACTTCAAGCCTTGGAAGTGGTACCTGATTGCATTTTCTCTTTAGGGGGCTCAGTTCTCCCCTCCCTGCTGCCGAAGCCAGAGGGAGGGCAAGACTGGAAGCGAGAGAGAGGCAGCGGCCATCCTGCCATATCTTATTCATAAGCGTGGTACTCACAGCAAGGTCCCTGGGTCTTCAGCTCTGCATCACCTCCTGCCCACAGGAAAATGGTGCTGCAAGATCACAGCAGCCTAGTCAATATTTGCCAGGTCAGTTCCTGGAACTGGTATGAAGACAATGCTCAGCAAACAGGAAGGGACCTTTGTTTCAAAGTGTCTGTCCTGCCTGATTGTCCTCCAGGCCAGTGGAGTGTGATTCTGGATTCGGCTTGGTTTGAGGACAGCCTGATATTGCCCATGAAGGTAGGGGGTCGAGACGTGATTACTAATGATCCATTGTCTGTATTTTGTGCATCCCAGGCATATTCTTTGTGGGACACCTCACGGTGAGAATGCACGGTGTTAGTTAAGCCTATGGTGGGAAGCATTTCACGATATACTGAAGCACACCAGCGTGCTGTATGCCATAAACCTATACAGGGATGTATGTCAATTATTTCTCAATAATACTGGGAAAAAAAAGGAATGTAAGAGAGGCAAAAATATACCCACCTTACAGATGTGAAACCAAGACTCCATGAGGTTAAATACTACGTGGTGGGGCTGCACTGAGGGGGTGGATTCAGCTCCCCAAAAGAAGCCTTCACCATCACACTGTTTCAATATTTTGCAGATACTATAAATAAATACAGTTCATGTACAGGAAAAAAAAAAGACTGGGAGGAAATTCAGAAAAAAGGAGCAAAATCTTCTGCTCTGCTATATTGAAATTCCCATAAAGTGGGATCACTGACTCTTGTTTATCCACATAGCACTCAAATTCTAGAATAAATTTTTATGGGTGAATCTTCTGGTGATGGAACTGAGATGACTTTTATGTTCTTTGTAGATTGTCTAATGTACTAATTTCTCACAAAGAGCATGCATCATATTTTTAAAAAACGAATAAAATGTTAAAATATAGTTATTTAATCATATGTATAATACAAAATAAAAGCTCATCCAGGTTGGCATGGTGGTTCCAGGCAGGAGGTACTTTTGAAACATAAAAGCACCCAGGACCTCAATCTGATTTGCCAGTGGGGTGGGGCTGGAGGTGCCTCCGGCCTGTCTGGTGTGTGAGGCACAAGAAAGCCCCTGGTGGAGAGCTGTAGGTGCTCACTCAGGATTTAAAGGTGGGGGCCGTGGGCTTTTGGGCCCAGCACTGATGGGGTCTGCTACCCCGACCAACATTCAAGACCCTCTCTCTGGTCTATGACAATGCTGAGATCTTCCAGGGTGTTTCATAAAACCACATTTGTGATATGACTAAGCAAGAGAGGTGACGTAAATCATAGCGTTCCTTTCTCACCTAAGAAGAACCCAGTTTACTCTCGGCTTGCACATGAATTACTTGGCTCTTTATAATAATTTATCCCATACTAGGGGAAGAAGAAACAACTCTAGAAGTCATGTATTTTGGATTCTATTCCAGGCCCACATAATGCAGCCCACCCCGTAGAGCTGTGAACTCAGTGGAATTGTACATGGCAGTGTCTGTGAAGTACCTGGCTCAGAGCAAGCAGAACAAGGCAGGGCGGGTAGTCATGTAAGGTTTTAAGGAATTGGTTCACGGGATTACGGAGGAAGGCAAATCAAAATCTGCATAGTGGGCCATCAAGCTGGAGGCCCAGGTAGAGCAGACATTGCAGTGCAGGTCTAAGGCCATCTGCTGATAGAATTCCCTCTTGCTGGGAACACTGCTCCCTTAACATCCACTCTGAGCACCAATCTCTTGGGGGAAGGCAGGCAGTCTTTGTTCTATTACAACCTTCAGCTGATTGGATGAGGCCCACCCACATTATGGAGGATAATCTGCTTTACCCAAAGTCCACCAGTTTCAACATTAATCTCCTCCAAAAGCACCCTCACAGAAACATCCAGAGTAATGTCTGACCACATATGGGGGCACTAAGGCCCAGCCAAGTTGACAACAAAAGTCCTATGGTGGTAGGAAAGAAGACTGAGCACCACCTCACTTAGGGTGCGCTCTGCCTCCTTCCTGGAGTGAAAACCTTTGACCTTGGTGCCCAGGCACTTCACCTGTCCTTCCAATCTCAGGGTCAGAGGGCATGAAAATGTGCCCTTACACATGTCTAGGGAATGCAAACTCATCTCACCTTCAACTCCACCTTGGAATCATGCCAGCTCATAGCCACAGTACGGAGGAAGGCTACCTTGGCCCCCAGTGAAGGCACCACATGTTGTGGCCCTGAAGGTCATGGATGGCACAGCTCGCCATCACTACTTGTGCAAGTGGGCTTTGCTGAGTCTATAGAAGTGACCTGGGTGCCTACTGCTTCTCAGTGTCTTCCCAGTATTGTTCTGACATGTGCCAATAACCTCTTGTTTGTGTGTCATGGCCCACCTCCCTTTAGCTGTGGAACACTGGGCTCCTAATCTCCACTATGAGCACCCTGAGGCAGGTAGGACATTAGGGCTGATCATTATCTGCAAAAGCACTCTAGCATGCGGGACACCAGACCCTCCTTGTCCTCCATGAACACCCTCTACTATGTGGAACACTGAGCCCTTAACATCCACTCTGAGCACCAATCTCTGCTTTCGATGTAGATCTGCTTTCACATGAAACTTGTGCAAGCACAGGGCTCCAGGCCTGCCTTCCTCTGGTTATGTGGCTGACACCACTTCCTCCACATCTTCTAGACTATTTCATCTTATTGCTGTTCTCTCAAGTTAGTTTCTTTATTGAGCTACTTCTCCAAGCTGCTCTTATGGCCTATTCCCAGGCCTCTCCTCTCTTAGACCTTGCATAGTAAAGTGGTGAAGCAAATGGCAAGCTCTTTTCCCTGGCACTTGAGTGTACTCATTAAATGAATGAAAATCCAAGCCCTGAAGTAGTGACTCCTCTGGTAATGTGAGGGGTTCCTTCAGGCTCACCTCATCAAAAGAAAACACTTGTCCTGTCCTGAACCCCACCACAGCTGGACTTTGGTTGGGCTTTTCACTGCCCACCCCTGGCCCCCCAGCCATCCAGCTCCTGGTTGCTAGGTCTAATGGAGACGCCCCGCAACAGTGTAGCCTGGGCTTGGTCATGGTGTTACGTGACTCGCAGCCCTTCATGGCCCATCTTTTGCCTCCAATTTCATTCCTGGCCTTGTGTTTTCAGCACCGAACCTTGGCTTTCTACCAGAATAGTTTTATTTTACCCTCTGGCTCAGCCTGCTCTGGGTTTATGCACTGCACTAGCCCACGCAGGCAAGGTCCAGTCTCTTGGGTGTCACTCTTGAGTCAGCCTGTTTGGCCAATATCTTTACCAGCTACGCCCATAGCCTCTGGGTCTGACCTTTCTTGTCAAATGACCTGCCGCTCTCAGACCCCATGATCCCATGTATCCAAAGAAAGTCATGGCTAGCCAGGTATTATACAACTGCCAGCCTTCCTTAGACACCCGCACACCACCCCCCATCTGTGCACACCCACCCTTCTGCCTCTTACCCCCTCACCAGTTTTACTTCCTATCCAGCTGCAGAAAATAATAACTCCCTCCTGGGGGTCATTTTAAAGATGAAAAGCGACTAGGGTCTGAGGCAGAGAAGTTGCTGCCAGCGTATTTGGGGCCCTTTGCCTTCCTAGGTGCCCCATTTCCCTTGTAGCTGGGCGAACGCACAGAGGCCCACTGAGGTCAGCTGGTGCTGGACCTTCTTCCCATCCTCTCTGAGGCGGTGCCCTGCCTCTGCCCACCCAGCTGGCAGAGGGAGTGTGGCGACTCTTACATAGATGAGGGGTCAGGATCTGACGGCCAGCTGGGCAGGAAACAAGAGTAATGAGACAGCCAAAGACTGGAATGACCCACCAAAACCTGCTCACATCCCTCGGAAGTGCTTCCCAACAGATGTCAAGCCCAGAACAGAAGACGCACTGACCAAGTGTCCCTGGCAGGCCCCCAGCCCCTTCTTACCCCTCGTTGTTCCTGGACAGATAGATCATCGGTGACCCATCCCAGCTCCGCTCACAGACCACTCTTTTCAGTCGACTTCTCTTGAATCACTAAGAGTGAATTTTATTCACTTTATTTATAAGCAGCTACATTCTAGCGCAGCACAGAATGGCCCCATCTCTACTTGGGGTTGAAGACTTTGCCCACAAAGAGCTCTTTTTGAGTTTTCTCATTCTGCACAAACAGGAAGAAGGGTCTGTTGAATTTCACGACTATAGGAGATGCCGTCCACGCCTTCGAGAGGGCTGCCTTCTGGTCCATGTGCTTGGCCGCATCCACTGCCACACCTTCCTCGCTCATTTCCACTCGGGCTTCATGCACAGCCTGGGGAGAAATAAGTCCCGTCTCAACTCTGGGCGTGAGCAGACTAGCTGGCCCGAGAACAAGCCAGGCAGTGTGCCCAGCCAGCCCATCATGGCCAACCAAGGTCAGGGAGGCAGGCTCCTTCCATGGCCAATGGCCGATGGAAGAAAGCTGGCGCCCGTTCCTAAAAAACTACTCCAGGATCTCAACAGTCAGAGCCACCCTCGAAGGCCAGATGCCTGAAGGAGGGGCTCACACCGCAGCTGCTAATTGCCGAGTTCAGATTCCCATCATGTGCAGACAGCTCAAGGAGTTTCGGTGTTTACAAGAGAGGAAAGGTGTCTAGAGCCCAGAGGATGGTGGGTGGTCTGAAGGCTTAGGTTTATGGTCCGAAGGCTTACATCATAGAATTACTGAGGGACGGTCCTTTCAAACACCGTCAAGAAGGATGTGGTGTAAAGAAAGGTAAAGAGGATGGGCGCTGGATATTCTTGTTTCCAACCCAACAAAAGGTGGGGAACAAAGAGAGTTCCCCACTCTTGTGGACATGTTTGTGCCAGCATATCCACGTCTACCCTCCAATCTGCAGGAGATCCTGCTGAGGAATATGGTGACGTTGCCCATAGTGTGGTGAGGGGCTTGGCATCTCTCAAATCCAATCCAACACCCAGCACTCAATGCACACTTGCCCAGACTCTAGAAATTGCCCCACTCACCTCTAAAATAGCGGGGAGATGGTCCTTTGTGATGCCTAATAAGTCTGCTTTTGGAGTAAGCAAATTTTCGATGCCCAAGACAGGAAACAGATTTCTTAAATTTATCCTGGAGGAGATCTTGAGTCTGGGCATAACTATGTGCACCAATCTGTGAAGAATGAAAATCACAGGGAAGCTGAAATACATCCCTCTCCTAGGGCCTAGGGTCCAGGGGAGCATCGTGCTAAGACTTAAAAGCTTCTTCCAAGTGAAAGGGAAAGAAGAAAAAGGGTTGCTTGGGGAGAGGTGAAAGGTATTGCAATATGAACTGCAGTTTTTAATTTCCAAACAAGCCACTTGCTCAAGGTACACCTTACTCCTCAACTCTCCCCTTCATAGGCTCTCTGTTCAAGAGAAGATGAGGGTCAGACCAGGGAATGGGTCCCACCAAACTTCCATCTATAAGCAAAGGTTTATATTGGACAGCGACCCTAAATGTGGTAAGAGAGACTGAAGGCAGAAGGTCACCTTGCCTGACGTAGAGGAAGTTTTCACAAGAGAGAAAAAATCCAGCCCACCAGTTAAGCTTTCAGACAGAGAGGACTCCTGCACTTGGAGATTAGCAACTCTATGATGAAGGTAGAGCATGAGAAGATGTAGCGGCACCCCCGCCCCCCACCCAAGCCTTTTAGCCTGTGTCAACGGAGTGTCAGCTTCCAACTGGATAGCAACCCACTCCGTTGGGTTCCTCTACTGGTGTATCCCCTCTGTCCCAACCAAGCACATTGTGGAAGGTGTTCAACCACCACAGCTGTGGCAGAAGACGGCAGATGCACTCTGCTGTGACCCTCAAGCACAGTAGAGGTGGACTGCACAGTAGTTTGTGCTACTACAAGGCGTGCAGTCAATACTACTTGGAGGTTTCTTCCCAATCTGTGCATTTATTGCCTGAAGACTGCCCCTGCCCCTTCCAAGATCAGGGAGGCATTAGGCATCATGCTTTCACTGTGTAACTTATCCACCTTTGATTGGACATTGGTAGATAGCACACCTAAGCTGGATCAATATAATTCTCCTTTCCAGGAATATATAATCGGAACTGCAAAATATCAGAATAAGCCAGGAGCGGAGCATTTGCTTGAATGGAAGAGGGTGGTCCACAGTGGTCCACAGTTCTCTCAGCTTGAAATTTGCCTCCTTAGGAACCTTCCCTGATCATCATGCCAAATGAAGATCTCCAGTTAATACTCCACCTCTGAATGCTCTATTTTCCATTATCTGCATAGCTTTTATTGCAATTTGAAATTACATATTTGTGAATTGACTTTCTGCCTCTCCCACAGACTGGAAATTCCATGATGGCAGAGACTCATTTGTCTAATCACTATATTCCCAGCACCAAGTGGTGTCTGGCATAGAATAGATGCTCAGCAAATATGTGTTGGGTGAGTGAGTCATGTGCTAAAGTGGTGAAAGCTGGTTTGCTGAGCAAGACAGGTTAGAGGCAAGGATGAGGGACACCACGGGAGATGGAGTTCCCAGTGAGGGTGCTGTCCCTTGTCCCATGTTGTGACATGGCTGTGTTTATACCCTTAGGTTCTATGACATACCCATGTATCTTTCTAACAAATTTCTTGTTTACCCCCTTGAGCTGGTAGGAGGTGGGTTTCTGATACTTGTAATCAAAAGTACCATAACTAAGACAGGTTAAGGGGCTTTCAACTGATAGTGGAATCCAGGCCACCATTCTTTTTCTTCGGTTTGTTTCATTTTCTGCAGCTACACTAGGAAATGACCAGATGCTCAATTGTCACCAAAATAATGACTTGCACAGAGGAAGTGAGGTCTAAGCAGAAATTCAGTGTGAATGTAGGATGTCCCTCCGGAATAGCACACCTCGTGTCGCCGGAATTCATAAGTTCAGCTCGCTTAGAGAGGATCTCTTGTAGAGCAGATTCAGATTGTCTCACATCTGGGAGCACCAGGACAGCGGACACATTTCCCTTGCATAGCATTTTAACCATTGTAGCAGACAGTTCCTCTGATCGTTTATAAATCATTAGTTCTGTCTTCTTCATCATATCCACTGGAACTATGGTCTTCTCATCCACAAAAAAATCCTCCTTCTGTGTGAGGTTAGCTTGAAAAGCTTTTTCCCAAATGCCTGGGGGAATCAGAAAAGACAAAATTAGAGGGACCTAGCAGAAAATGCATCACCACCCGCATGTTTGGGAACCCCAGAGGCAACTGGCTTAGGGTGGAAGCAGTCTCTTTACATTCATACCATGACCTAAGTAAACAGAATAGTTAAAAGTTTAGATTAATGCAAAGAAAAGAAAGGAAACACATGATTTTCAAAAATATTCACTATAGGATTTCTTTAAGTCTGTGTTTCTCAAAAGATGTTTGCCAAATTACTACCTGCCTCTGGTGCTATGACACAAAGAAAGGATTTTGTTGTCAAATAATTTGAGAAACATTGACCACAACATCCCTTCTTTGAATTATCCCATTGCATTTTAGTATAAGAGTTCTAACTTCTCTGGCAAAGACACTGCTTAAAATTTGTTTTTTAAAAATTTTAATTGAATTGAATTGCTTATTCAAGGAAAGAAACTTTTCATCAGAAACACACACACACAGACCCCTGCATGGACTCCTACTTTAAATAATGCATTTCATCATTTAAAAGAATTTTTAAATCAGGATTTAGAAAAAGATTCAATATACACAACAGTCAAAACTGCATCTGTCACCCAGATGAGTGCCATCTTGTCTTGTCTGGAAAATCTCTACAGGCGTTTTCAGGACCTTGTTTCTGGTTCTACAGCTAAGCTCATGGCCCTTTATTCCCTTGTCTTTACTTCTTACCTTCTAAAGAGAGAGATGGATAAAGCTCTTAGGAAGCTTTCAGAGGGAATCATGAAGGAACATTTCCTGGAGTATCCAGATAAATAATTCCTCCAAGATCATTTGTGGAGCACTTTCTATGTCCCAGGCATCTAGCTTGGAACTGTGGGTCCAAATATGAGTAACAGATGGTCCCAGTAGCCTGAGCAACAAGCATTCTGTGCTGGGAAGCATTGCTTTATGGAAATTTCCCTCATTTGTCATGCAAAGGGCAGCCCCTCTTCACATCCTGGTAGGAACTCCATTTAAGTCATGATAGGATATCTATTCATTTACTCATTCAACACCTAAAATTTCTTAAGCACCTAAAATGTGGTAAATACTGTAGTACTATATTAAGTACAGAGGTTATAGCAGTGCACAAAACAGAGGAGGTCTTTGTCTTCATGAAGTTTACTTACTGGCGGGGGATACAGAGAGAAAAGCAGCCCACCAAAGTAAATGATTACAAAGTATGGTGAGCATTATGAAAGACACAGTAGGGGCTAAACAGCAGCATGGAAGGACTTTGTCCAGATGGCCAGGAAGCCTCCTTTAAGGAAGGGGGCATTTAGGCTGAGTCTTAAAAGAAGAGGGTGCTCCTTCTGGCAAAGAATAGAGAACATTCCAAAAACATGCCATAAACCAAGACAGGGCAGAGCAGAGCAGGATGCATTTAAGGGAGAGGAGACAGTCATTGTGGATGAGGCATATGGGGTGAGAGGGATAGAAATGGAGGAACACTGGAGGGATGAGCAGGGCTCAGAGCATCGTGCCAAGTTGGATTGGACTGAGTGCCAAGTGCGACAGGAAGCTATAGGAGGGTGTCAGACATGATGTAAGCATGTTAGAGCGATGTGATATGATTTCGGTTTTAAGAAGATCACACTGGCTTTCTAATGGAGACAGTATTGAAGGGAGGTATGAATGGAAACAGAGCAATTGGACAGCTGGGGCAAATCATCTAGGCAAGAGATAGTGGTGGCCTAGTCTAGGAAATTGTAGAAGGGATGGTGAGAAGCGAACACATTCCAGATAAACTTTTCAGGCAGAATCCATTGGGTGTGGAGGCTAAGAGTTTTCATCTGAAGCAGGTGGATGGATGGCACTAGGATTCTGCAGCATCGGGGGGCCACAAGGAGGTGCACCAGGTGGGAGGGTGCAGGGCTTGGTGCATCGCATTTCAGGGTCTGTGAAACACCCACAGAGAGTCAGTAGGAAGATGGTCAGAGTCTGGCCCTCAGGCGAGGTGGTGCATACAGATGGGGAAGAGGCAGGGTGCAAAGGGTGCTGGAGGCCACAAGCCTGGGTGAGAAGGGAGACAGCTTTTAGAGGTCAGAAGAGGTGAAAGCAGAAAAGGAGACAAAAAGTCATGAGCTGCTGGGCAGGAGGAAAGTAAGGGGAGTCCTTGGGCAGGGAAGACGGCAGGGGGCCCACCCTGAGGGGTGGTGGTAGTAAGCACGTCCTCACTGTGACGGGAGGGGAGGGCAGGAGAAGTGTGTAGGGGTTGGTAGGCTTGGCAGGCACGGGGCACAAGAAGGACTTTCTGTCTGATTGTTCTTCTTGCCCCATTTGGGCAGGAGAAAAGGTCAATGGAGGAGGTAAACCAGTAACTCGGAGTGGAGGAAGATGGCATGAAATAGATGCTTTCGAGTGGCAACTGTGAAGCGCCCCCCGCCCCAACCAAGGAACCAGGGGCAATCTCAAGATCGGCGAGCATAAGTTTAGAGTGGTATTTTAGACACCTAGTGCCTTAATTCAATGACACCCTGAATTCAGGGCTGGACACAAGTCTGAGGAAAATCTCATCTCCCACTGATCTGATTTTACACAAGTGAATTAACCTGATGCTCAGGCCTCTGCAAAAGATTTTTTTTCCTTTTTACCAGCAAGAGTCACTGCATCTTACTTCCAAATATCTTCCATATGACAAATACTATGACTAAGAGGATTGGGAGAAGAGAAACTTATACTTGCTACTGTAAGTGAAATCAAAGTAAATTAAAAAGTTTTGGATTCACTGCTCTATGAGCAAATGAGATATAATTTACAAAAAAATACATTTTTTTTCTGAACTTAATAAACCTTTTGGGAGACAAGGGCAAAGATGACCCCAAATGGGAATTCATGTCCTTAATAACGCTCACCTTTGAAGAGAATGTAGTTTACAAGAAACAGCAAAGTGTGAGGGTCCAGATCGGTGGCTAATTCGTCGATGTTCTCTTGCATTTTTTCAGCCACATGGTGGTCGATCTGCTTCTTGGTTCTTTCTTCATCTTGGAAGTTAACCATGTGGACTTTCATGTCAAGTGTGTTATTTAGCTTGTGCAGAAACGTCGAGTCCATCTTCCTGTTTTTATCAACAAACAGAATGTCCCCGTGCTTCAGTTCTATATTTCTATCCAGCTGGTGCAGTTTCTGGAAGAGTTGGTGCACATCCCACTTTCTGATGTCCTTGAGGTCAAGTTCAAGGTCCTTAAGGAGGTCAGTGAACACGGCGGACTTGTTCTCTAGGGAGAGCTTGGCCAGGGAGGTGGAGATGCTCATAGGAGAGAAGATGATATTCTTCCTGGGAGACTCCCTTAACAAAGCATCCAGCAATTTGTGGGCAAGTGTATCGTTGTCAGCTTCTAATTTCTGGAGGTGAGGTGGCATTCTCCTTGACAGGACGGGGTTAATATCCCATTTGGGAGTTGTTTGTGTTTTACAGAAGATGCTATTCAGAAGGCCACAGTAGATGAGAGCCAGAGAGAGAGCGAAGTGCACTCTCCCGCGGGGCATTTCTGCAGCGATCTGGACACCTGTTATTGGAAGGAAGAAGAATGAGGGTGAACAGTTCATGGAACGTGTTCTCAGTCCTGAGGAGCTCCCAGAAGGCCTCATTATTACCTGGGTGCCATTCACCTGGGTGGGTTACTATTGGTCCTTGATTGGAGAATGCTTGCTAAGTTCAATGAGAAAAGGCTAAAGGATATTAGAATATGACTTCAGGCACATGAAAGATAAATGACTTAGCGATGAAGGATCCCTTTCTGCCTCTGGCCTGCACTGCAAGTGGGTCCTTGTACAAGTCCCTTCCCCATCCCGGTCCCCTGCTTGCTGTGGCATTCTATGACTTCGAACACCACGTCTCACTGGGGTTTCTTTCCTTTCTTTTTTCTCTTTTTTTAAACACAGGGTTATTGACAAAGTCCTGAACAGTGTGGAAAGGGAAACAAGTAAGAGATGAGATGGAGCAAGGATTGCAGATCCAGATGCCCACAGGGATCCGGTTAGAAAGATACTCGTGTGAAGTCAGCAAGTGTGACGCAGTAAGTGCTGAGGGCTGGGGCAAGGGGAGGGCGTGGCAGGCCAGAGCTCGGAGGTGCTGCTCCCCTGCGGCTGCCATTACCACGTGAGGGGGTGGCTCAGAGGTCCCGGGTGTTTTTATGTTCCTGCTGAAGCTGGAAATTCAGATTTTTACACGAAAACTTCAGTCTTTTCAAAAGTACTTGTAAGCAGCATAAAGCCTAGATGTAGACCAGATCTGGCTTTAAAGATGCCCATGAAATTTCTGAAATAAATCCTAGCTGGTGCTCAGGTGACTTGGACATCTGTTAAACCAAGGACCTGGCAAAAGTCATCTCAGAAAAGCCTATTCTCCTCCTTGGGTCCCCCCAGTCTTTGTGGCTCCTGCCTCCCTCCCATTTTTAGGGTAAAAACCCTTCTCTGTCCCCCAGTGTGCCACCTATATTTGACTGAGATCAAAATTCAGGTCCTGAATCTGCTGGGTGCTCTAATGGTGGGATTTTGGGCACCACCAAAGGGAAAGGAGAAGATACAAACCAAGACCTGAGTTTGGGCTCATGCTTAACCTCTTCTGGGCAGGGCCATGCCTTCTCCTTCTCCTTGTTTCCCTACATTTCCTAGCACAACTCTGGGCACGGGGTCCCCTTATCTGCATCCTCACCATCACCACTGGCACCCTTGTCATGGCTACTGAAACAGTAGCTGCTATACATGAAGGTTTATGCCTCTCCAAATTCCTATGTTGAAACCCTAACCACTAATGTAGTGGAATTTGGAGGGAGGGACTTTGGGAAGTAACTAGGCTTAGATGAGGTTGTGAGGGTCCCATACATATGGCCATTTATTAGTGCCCATATAAGAAGAGACACTAGAGCACTGGCTGTCCCCCGCCTCTGTCCCTGTGTGTGCACCCACAGAGATGAGGTCATATGAGGACACAGTGGGAAGACAGTCAGTCATCTTACCTGACCTTGGGTGTCCAGCCTCCCAAGCTGTTAGAAGAGTGAGTTTCTGTTTAAGCCACGCAGTCTGTGGTATTTTGTTACTGCAGCCTGAGCTAAGATAGCATCTCTCAGCTATCAGTTTTGCCACCTGCCAACCAACCCTTCCAGCCAACTTGAAGCCAGAGTGGGCTCCCCAATGAATCAATCATCATTTTCCCTTCCTGGCTCCCCATGAACTTCAAGGGGATGGAGCACAAATTCTTCAGATGGCAGAGAAGCCCTGTTATGCCCTGGCTCCTGCCAACCAGATCTGTAGCTCTGAGCAGCCTGCCATACTCCCTCACTGGCCCCTCCGCCTCCCACGGTTGCTCCTGCCTCCCATGGCCGCACCTCCATCATTCTCCCAGTCTCATCCTTCACTGCCTCTTCCATCCACCCCATCTGAGTGGGGAAAGGGGCAGTGAGGGGTCAAGGGCATTGCAGTTGAGGGAGCAGCTAGTAGGAGGGGGTCAGGGGTGGGGATAAGAGTGATGGGAAGGTTTCAGAAAATGCACATGCATCCTTATTACACTGGGTCTTCCATCATCTTTCCAAGGCACATACTACCTGAAACATGGCAAAAGAGAAATAAAACACATGCTCATATAGAACCACATTGTCCCCAAGAGAAGAAAGGTGTCTTTCTTACCTTCCAGAGGAGCGTATTGGTGCCACAAGTACTTTGCAACTGTCAGTGACTTACTTATACTGCCGCTGGTGTAGTGAAGTAGATAAACCTGAGTTAATATTAACTTGGCCAGCAGATCATGTTCAAATATTGCCTAAAGCTAGTGTGACTGAATCACTTCTGTTATTTTTTCTTCATGCATCAGTACCCCCATCAGTGAAACAATGAGCAAATTAATGGATTAGGCCACCATTTGTGTTACTGTCCACTAACTTAACTCATGCATTGTTTCAACCAACACCTACGTAGGCCCTATGAAGAGCCATGCTCTGTGCTAGGTACTAGGGGCACAAGATGCTTAAGGCCTGGCCACCTTGAGGGGAACTCCTGACCCCAAGAACCTTTTGGTATAGAAGGAGAAATGCACATATAAGGAGACTGTGGGGCACGTCTTGATAGTTCAAGAAGTACACGTTGCTAGCACACATTACCAATAAGGGACAGAGCAAGTGAAGAGACGGGTGCAGTTAATCACTGGGGTCATCGGGAGAGGATGAGTAACCTCTCATCTAGGTCTTATAAGATAAGCAGGAGTCTACTCATCCTCAGGAAAGCCTGAAGAGGGATTCTGGATGCTGGGACGGGGTTACGATGCCTGGGGAAGTGGGGGAGCAAGGCCATATGTGCAGGTTATTCCAAATGTAACAGGAGTTCATTCATGAAGTGAAATGCTTGACAAATGTTCTCCCCAGTAGCCACTAAAGAGCAGGAAAAAATTGTCAAAAATTTTTTTTCAATGCCCCAGTAATCTACTAAAGGCCTATGGCAAATAGCTAAGTATTCATTCATGAGAAGTAGTGAGCTTTGGGTAGAAAATAGTGAGTCCGTAGCATTCTTGCCTGGGGCTGCTTTCCCCTGTACTGTTGGTGGGCGGTCTAACCAGAGTGTGGGTTCTGCTACTAGGGCCAATTCACTTTGGAATGCTAAGGTGAATATCAGTTAAAGTGATGATCTCAGTGGTAAACAAAGTGTGTGTGTGTGGAGGTGGGGGCAGTGCTTCCACCAGCCTGAGGTTGTGATGGGGTCAGTATATAAACCAACCATCTAGTATATAAACCAACAGGGAGTCCTAAGAGATGTGACAGCTATAGGGGGCTTGATGAGTTCTCTGCATATCCCAAGTCAAATGTGTGCAACAGAGACTGGAGCAGGCCCAAGCCACCCACACTCCCCTGGCTCACAGAGAAGCAAGAGTAAAACGTGGAAGGTAAAATCTGGTTGGTACTTTATGACTGTCTGAGGTTTGAATGGGCTCCTCAGCCCACACACAGATCCATCCCATCAGCAGAAAGTGGAAGCTTTACCGGCTCAAGGTATTTGAGAACAATTTCTGACCACTATGTGGCTAAACAGTAAGCAATACAGAAACAGGGATGACTGCTAGGAGGTAGCCCTAAAAATAAAATAAAGAAAAGGGAAAC